ACTAGTAGACGACGGGAGGCTAAGAACCTGGCGAAGCACGGAGTCAGGCGGTGGCAGAGACGACGGAGACGGCGGAGCAAAGAACAGGCGCGGCTGTGCAGTGCCACCAGCACCAGCAGCTCCAGCACCCTCAGCAGCTCCAGCACCTCCAGCAGCTCCAGCACCCTCAGCAACTCCAGCACCCTCAGCAGCTCCAGCACCTCCAGCAGCTCCAGTACCCTCAGCAGCTCCAGCACCTCCAGCAGCTCCAGCACCCTCAGCAGCTCCAGCACCTCCAGTAGCTCCAGTACCGCCAGCCCCAGCACCCTGAGCAACTCCAGCACCTCCAGCAGCTCCAAAACCCTCAGCACCAGCCCCACCTGGTGCAGCACCCCCAGAACCGGCACCTCCAGTCCCAGGGTCTCCAACCGCAGTGCCACCAGCAGTAGCACCCTCAGACACACCACCGCCAGCCCCAGCAGCTCCAGTACCCCCAGTACGAGCACCTCCGGGACCAGCGACACCAGGACCTCCATCAGACAAAGGACCAGCACCACTCCCAGCTCCAGTGACGCCAGCAGAAGAACCCCCAGCAGTAGAGCCCTGGGGTGCATAAGCGCGACGCTGACGGCAACCGTACCAGTCGTGCAGCTACTGGGAGGTGAGAGGCACACGCGGACGAAGACGGCTACGCCAAGGAGACCGCGTAACAGCTGTCTCAGAACCCTCAGGCGACTCACCCCCAGACTCAGTACCCCCAGACGCAGCACCCCCAGACGCAGGACCTCCGGGCTCCTCACGCGCAAGCGCAGCACCTCCAGGCTCCGTACCCTCAGGCCCCTCACGTCCAGTGCCCCCAAACTCAGCACCCCCACGCTGCGCACCACCAAGCTCCGTACCCCCAGGGACAGCACCACCGCCAGCAGGACCGGAGTCACCAGTGATCTCAACAGGCGCAGGGACGGGAGGGTCTACCTGAGAAACACCGGAAGGAGCAGGACCTGGTGCGGGGAGGGGGTCTACCTGGGGAGGACCTGGGGCAAGAAAGAGCGGCGGGAGAGGGCGAGGAGCAGTGCGGTAGGGGAAGAGGCGGTAAAAGGGGACTGGCTCGTCAAAGGTGACGTCCTGGGACGCAAAGACACGGCGCGAGGCGGGGTCGTAAAACTGCCAGCCAGGGGCGTCAGGGACAAAGCCAAGGAAGACGCAAGGAATGGCGCGAGGGGAGAGCTTGTCCGCGGTGGTATCGCGAACAAAGGCACGAGCACCCCAGACCTGGAAACGCGACGCGTCGCCAACCTTCCCCGTCCACAGCAGTGTGGGCGAGGTCTCCGGCAAGGAGACACGGGGCCAAAGGTTGAGCTCATGCGCGGCGTACCGGACCGCAAACGGCCACAGAAAATGGGGGGCAGCCGCATGGAACATAGAGGTACGAGCGACCTCCATGACCAAGCCAATGCGGTGCTCTGCAACCCCATTCTGCTGCGGAGAGGCCGAAAGCGTGAAAGTCTGGCGGATGCCGTGCTCCGCACAGAAGGCTGCCAAGAGGTCTGAGAAGAACTCACCACCTCTGTCAGAGTGCAGACGCAGGACAGGAAATTCCGACTGGAACCGCTCGCGGAGTTGGAGACGAGTAGCGCGAATCGAGGGGATCAAAACATCAGGGACATCCGTTTTGCACTGCAAGGGGAAGACCGTGGTGTAGCGCGTGTAGTCGTCGACAACCAGCAGGAAGTACCGCTCGTGGCCCTGTCCACGGACGCGGGCTAGGCCCCACACGTCCAGGTGGAGAGTCTGCAGTGGAGCCTCTGTGGGAGGGAACAAGGAGGAGTGAGGAGCGATACGCTGCCAACCCTCGACGCAAGGAATGCAGGGCGGCGCAGGCGAGGGAGGGAGGGCAGGCAGAGACCTGGGAAGACCAGAGACCAGAAAGCGAGAGTGCATGCTACGAAGGCGAGGCAGGGAGGGGTGGCCCAGGCGGTGGTGCCACAGGAGAGTGTCGTGAGACAGCCGGCGACACTCACACTGGGTAGCTGCCTGAGCAGACGCGTGCAGCTGGGGAGACAAAAGGGTGGAGCACGACGCAGTGGTGAGGGTGTACAGGCTGGACCCTGGCGCACGGGTGAACGTGGCCAGGTGGCGGCCGGTCTGGGAGCACGTGCAGATCGCCACACGCTGCCGGCCAGGGGTGAAGGTGTCAACACCCGCATCCTAGAGGACAGCGTTGCTCACCAAGTTTGTAGAGAACGAGGGGAGGTGGAGACCAGACAGCTCACCAGACGGGACCGCCGGACACGGAAGCACAGTGGAAGACCGTGCAAGCACTGAGCCCCCAGAGGGGTCAGCCAGGGAGACAGGAACAGGTGCAGGGAGGGGAGTGACTGTGGTACTGTCGCGAAAGAAGCAGCGGGAAGCACCAGAGTCAAGTGTAAAGGTGTGCAAGGCCTGTGCAGGCGCAGTACCAAGGGGAGCAGACTCACAAGCACCTAGTGCTGCAGGGACTATACCAGGGGCTATACCAGGATCCGGCGGCACACACAAGTAGCAGTCACCCTCAGCACTAACAGTCAATGCATACATAGCAGCAAGAATTTCCTCATAGTCAAGATCAAAGATAGGTACATCACGCCTAAGTAGGTCTGCCCAGTTGGGGAACTCAGTAGCATCAGGAAACTTGGCTCGCCAGACGTCACTAAGCCGAGCGAAGCAGCGCTGCTCAGTGTGAAACCCTGTGCACTGGCGACCAGTGCGGGGACCTGTGCGAATGATATAGGGGCAGCGACCAGGACCCCCTGAAGCCCCACACCCGGCATACCAGTCAAGAAGCTGCTGGGAAGTGGGGGTCTGGCGCTGACGCTGCTGCTGCTGCTGCTGCTGCTGCTGCTGCTGCTGCTGCTGCTGCTGCTGCTGCTGCTGCTGCTGCTGCTGCTGCTGCTGCTGCTGCTGCTGCTGCTGCTGCGACTGCTGCTGGCCCGGACCACCACTGCCACCACCGCTCCCCCCTCCTCCACTGCTGCCGCTGCCACCTCCACCGCTCCCAGTGCCCCCGCCGCCCCCACCACCACCTCCACCACCTCCACCCCCACGACCACCCCCACCACCTCCACCTCCCCCGCCGCCTGCACCACGGCCACCTCCACCGCCACCCCCACCTCCCCTGCCACCCTTGCCGCCCCTGCCGCTGCGACGCTTCCCACTAGGAGCGGAAGCAGCCCCAACCTCCTCAGCACCAAGGTAGTCGTGAGCAGCAGCTGCGGAGGCGTAGGAGGGGGTGAGAGGGGAGGGGGAGCACCCCTCAAAGAGGGGAGAGCGCGGAGTGCCACGAGCAGCACCTACAGCGAGGATGTTCTTCTCTGCTGCTAGGAGGTGCTTCTCGAAGTCGTCGACAGTGAGAGTGGGGGGGTCGAGCGCTAGGAAGTGGTCCCTGACTGAGCTAAGAGTGTCAGGGAGGCGGGTGACGAGGAAATAGAGAGTGAAGTACATCGGGGGGGGGGGGGGGGGGGGGGGGGTTGCGGCGCAGAACTCGGCTGAAAGGGCGGCACGAAAGCGAGTGTCACTAGCGCGCAGGTGGGAAATGAGGTCCTTGGCAGTGGTGAACGAGGAAAGGTCGGGGAACAGGTAAGGTAGCATGAGTCGACCTATGGCTGCAGTGGCCGGGGAGGAGTAGCGCGCAACTACAGCGTCGTACAGTGTCTTAGCAGTTTTGTGCTGGCTGAAATGCGCGCGCTCAGTAATCGGCAGGTGGTTCCTAATAGCGAGGCGTGCAGCAGCATCGCGAGTCTGCCACTGTGAGCGTTCGAGAGCAGGAGCATCGGCAGCAGGAGCAATGGCAGTGCCAGATACGTAATCGAACAGGGAAACGCCCTCTTTGGCATCGGTCAGAAGGAACAGCTGGAGATCGTCTAACCACACAGCGAACTCTATGGGGCGACCGTCAGGCTCGAACGCTAGAACGTTAGGCGTCGTCATAATGGCTCCAGGCAGAGGCAGGAGGCAGCAGGCAGCAGACAAGAGGCAGCAGGCACCAGGCCACAAGCAAAGGCAGAGGCAGCAGGCAGCAGGTAGGAGGCAGCAGGCAGCAGGCAGCAGTGCAGGAGCGGCCGCACGCGAGCCCCTAAAGCAGCACGCTAAGCAGTAGCGGGCCGCGCAGGCGGCCGACGCGACGCGCAGCGCAGCGGCGGGCCGCGCTGGCGACAGATGCGGCACGCGGGGCGACGGCGGGCTGCACGCGACGGCGGGCTGCGCGCGGCGGTGAGCTGCGCGGGCTCGACGCGAGCTGCGCGGGCGACGCGGGCCAGCGCGCGGCGCTGCAGCAGTGGCGCGCGCTAAAAACAGTGACGCGCGCGCTGAAAACAGTGACGCGCGCGCAACAGCCGAGGCGCGCGCGAAAAAAAAAAAAAAGATGACGCGCGCTGCAGCCGAGGCGCTCGCGGGCAGTAGGCAAGGCAGGTAGGGTAACACAGTTAGGTGGGCCCGATTCTTAGGTCCTAGAGACCTCCTGCTCTAGTTACCATGTTGAGACTAAGTCATAGGGAATGATTGATTACCGGTCAAGATTGGGGTACAAGACTAGAGTGTCGAGATTGTTTTTGTACCCTCTAAGGCTAACCCCAATACAGCCTAGATAATAACAAGCATATCTTTTGACACACATGCCACCACACCTGCTGCAGCCAGATCAGAACGTCCCAGTGGGCCATATACCTAGTGGTTTAACCTTTCATGAACTCAATGGTGAATCACACACAAGGAGCATGCCATAAGAGATGAACTCTCAATCAACACATCTCCTTCAGTATGCAAGTGGTGGCTTTATAGAGTTAATTACGGAATGAAGTAAAACATGGCTGGTATGGTATGCCAGGTGGACAGACAGAGAGCAAGACTCATCAGGGAGATTACAAACAACTGCACTAATCCACCCAGCCACCCACCCAAAAATCATCCAAGCCCATCTTCCCTACCCCCCGCTTCCCCATGCCTCCTCGACTCAACCTCCCACCTTCACCTCATCCCCCTGCCTGTCATCTCCGAGACGAAGACAACTCAGACGCAACCCGCGGCCGCCCCTTAGGGCTCTTCCTCGCCTTCTCCGCAATCTCCGCCACCTCAGCGTCCCGCACCCACCACTCCACCACCTCCCCCGGCCGCACCTCCCTTTGGCACGCCTTCCTCGTCTCCTCCGTCAGCAGCGGGTACCGGTTGAACCGCGCCTCACTAGCGTCCAAGTCGTCGCCGCCCATCTCGGGCACGCTGGTGCGGTGCACGAGGACAGTCATCACCTGCCGTGGGTCCACAGCCACGCGGCGGTAGCCGAATTCACCCAGACACATCTCAGCACGCGGGTACTCGTCCTTGTTGGTGCAGAACAGCTGCGGCCAGTGGAAGCGCATTCGCTCCACCGCCCACACGGGTGAGACTGCTGGGGGCGGCTGGGCTGTGGCTGCTGCTGCTGCTGCTGTGGTGGTGGTAAAGGTGGTTGTTATAGCGGCAGTGGTGGCAGCAGAGGCAGTGCCAGCAGTACCGGCTGTACCAATACCACCAGCAGCAGCACCGGCTCCTGCAGTACCACCACCAGTACCACCAGCAGTAGCAGCAGCAGCACCACCACCACCAGTACCAGCAGCAGTAGCAGCAGCAGCACCACCACCAGCAGCACCTGCAGTCCCAGCAGTCCCAGCAGTAGCAGCAGCACCACCACCAGCAGCACCTGCAGTCCCAGCAGTCCCAGCAGTCCCAGCAGTAGCAGCAGCACCACCAGCAGCAGCACCAGCTCCCGTGCTATTAACCACCATCCTTAACGCCGACCCTCCTCCACCCCCCCCACCCGCCACACCGAGCAAGCTCCTCCCACCCGCACCCCTCCCAACCCCTCCCCCTGCGCCCTCCACCTGAACGCACTTCTCAAGGGACCACCATCTGCTCCCAAACGACACATAAGGCCGCCCCTCAAACCGGCTCAGCACCGCCGCCATATCCTCCCCAGACCTGGAAGAAAAGTACTCACTCATCTCGGCGAAAAACACCCACTGCGAGGTGAACGCGTGCTGGTGCACACAGTCATTCATCGCCAGCAGCCTCCCGGACTCCCATACATCAAACTGCTCCACGCGCCGCATGTCAACGATCTGCACGTACCCGCCCTCCACAAACCCCTCTATCAGCCCCATGATCTCCGGATCTAGCGCCCCTGCGTCGTACAGCACGACCCGGTCCACCCCCACGTGCAGATGGTACTCGATCCACTCGTACACCCGCATGGGGATGAGCTTGGTGGCGAGCGGCGGCGAGCAGTAGGTGAGGCGGTGGGGGTAGGGCGCGGCGGGGTTGGCGGAGGGGAACTGGCCCTGGTCCTCGATGTAGGAGACGATGTCCTCCTTGTCCACTGTCACCACCAGGATGCCGCCAAAGTCCTGGGCTGTGGACTCCTCCAGCTCGCACACCAGCACCACCGCCTCGTACCGCTTGTTGTGGTCGTCGCCTGGGTAGTAGGCTGTGCAGTGTGGGGAAGGGGAAAAGAGAAGGGTGGGGGGGAAGAGTGGAAAGAGGGGTGTGGATGCTTGATCGATGTCTAGCTCGCATACCAGCACCACCGCTTTGTACCGCTTGTTATGGTCGTCCCCGAGATAGTAGGCTGTGGTGGGGTGTGTGGGAGGGGAAAAGATGGGGTGTATGATGAGGGGGGATTATGGGGTGAAAGGGGAGAGGGGTGGGATGAACGGGGAGAGGATGTGTGGGGGAGAGGGAGAGGTGTGGATTCTCCATTCACATCGTGTCTTAGCTCCATGCACTCCTCCTCAGAAGGCATGCCATCAAGCGCTCTCTCTCCACCCTCTCACTCAACCCTCATTCTCAACACGCCTCTCTCTGATTGCCTGCCAACACGTGCCAACTCCTCTGTTTCACTCTGCCCTTACAATCCCCCCTTCCACACATGCCTCCCCAATCCCCACCCTCTTACTCCACCAGAGGCAAACCTACTGCCATCCCACTGTCCTACCTCTCACCCCTCCCACTCAAACAACCCCAGCATCTCCCCCTCCCCCCCTCTTCACTTACGAACTGCGCCGTGGCTCCGTGCCGTCCTTTCCGTCTGCTTCCACAGGCACCGCCCCAGTAAACCTACAAGCTACTGCCCTAACTCAACATTCTTCCTTTCCGCCCTTCCCTCCCACCACACCCCCCTCAACTCACCCACGAGCTGCCCCGTCACTCTATGGCCGCCGTGCTTCTCCTTCCACAGGCACCTGCCCAGCTCGCGGGACGTCTTGAGCACGCGGGACGCCAGCCCCACCACGGCGAACTTGCTCTCGCTCATGCGGTAACTCGCGAACTGCACGAACCCAAACGTGGGCATGTGCTCGCGGAACACGTTGTTGCGCGTCACCTCCTTGGCCACCTTCGAGTTCGGGTCCTCTAGAATCGCCTTCACCAGTTCACGCCTCTTCTCCGTGTCACTCAGGTCGGATTGTGGGTCGAAGTGGCTAGAAGAAGCGTCTACATCTCCCCCCGCTGCTGCTCCCGCCGCCCCTGCAGTGGTCCCCGCTCCCCCTCCTGCTGCGCCTGCGGCCCCGGCTGCGCCTGTTCCCCCTGCCGTGGCCGCCATGCCTCCGCCTGACGCCCCTGCTCGCCCCCCTCCCGCTGCCCCCGCCGTCAGTCCCCCTCCCGTGGCCCCCGCAGTCAGTCCCTCGCCCGCTACGCCTGCCGTGCCTGCAGCCTCAACTCGCGGCTGCTGCTGCTGCTGCTGCTGCTGCGCGCCCCCTTCCTGCTGCAGAACCCGCGGGTCCACTGGATTTTTCGCTGCTGCCCCTGACTGCGCTTGCCCCGCCCCCGCTTGGCCCCCGCCCCCATTCCCTGCTTCCGCTTTCTCTCCCGCTGTCGACTTAGCCCCTGTCCCTGCTCCCCCTCCCGCGCCCGCCCCACCTGCTGCGCCATTCCCCCCATTCGAGACAGTCGCTAGCTGCTGTTGCCGCCGGTTTTGAATAAGTAGAAGAATGAGCAGAACCGCGATGACTATGTAGGGAATATTCTGCTTGATAAGCGCCGACACGTAGTGCGATCTGCTGCTGCTGTACATGGCGCGGCGCCGTCTCAGCATGGCGATGTGCGGGTTCACGTCGCCAGCTCTGTGATACGACGGCGGGGAGTCGTGGGCCGTCGGATCGTCCTCCATCTCCACATACGTCGTCTCGGGGGGACTATCGTACGGCGCTACTCCCGACGCCGGTATTCCCGAGGCGTACCCCCCACCGGCCCCCCACCGCCGCTGCTCTTGCGCGCCCCATTCCCGCCGCGGCCCCGCGCCTCCGCCATATGCGCCGCCGTACGCGCCGCCGTACGCCGCGGGGCCTCTCCCGCCGCGATGCATCCCCCCGTCGCGCATGCCTGGGTCCCGCATCGCCATGGATCGGAGCGCGAGCTCACTCATTCCTGTATCGCGTACGACGCCAGGCCCCTCCCGCGCTCCTGGCCCCCGCATGCCCATGTCCCGCATGCCTGGCCCGCGCATCCCCATTCCCCCCATGCCCCCCATGTTTCCCCCGCAGCCCATGCCTGCTCCGCGCATGTCCGCCTGCCTGAAGCTGCCATGCGGGGAGTCCTGCACCGTGGGGGAGGCAGACGGCATTTCTGCCGCATACGCGGATACTAGAGCTGACTATGCGGCAGCAATCAGGGTTGACCGATCGAACAAGCGTAACGGAAAGAACGCCTATCTAATTGGTAAAATCCACTGAGCCGCAGGCGACTGCCGTAAATTCTCGACTGGAAAAGGTTACCCAGACGCCGGTAAGCAACGGACGAGACACATTGACGGCCTACCGTTTAGTCTTTACAGGAGGAAGAAAATTTATCAGTTTGCTCGGCAGTGAGGAGACGGTTCGCGCTAAGCCGGCTGCACCAGACCAGACTATCGCTCCCTCGCTTGCTGCCTCACCTTGAAAGCTTTGTGCTGGTGGTAGGTTGATTTGAACGTGTTTGAAGTACACCAGAAACGAATGTTTAGACACGAAACGAATTCAGATGCAATGTTCAATATTGAAACGTGTAAAGAGCGTACGAAGGCAAGGTTTTCGAGCCCACGCGCGAATTTTATGGGCGAAAGTTACCGAAACCAGCACACCCAGCCACTACCCGTGCGACCATCGAGGAAATCAGCGTGCTAAACCTGGTGGCGAGAAACGAACCCACTGCCATCGTGGCGTCATCACATTGGTTCTGACGATCGTGGCGACATCTGTTCGTGGATAATGCAGTTTCGCCCATCCAATTCACCCCCCCTCGGGAGACCATCTCTTTCGTTCCTCCTTGGGATCTACTCTGGTTGCCTCCCACTCCGTTCAGACCGATTTTCTTTGGTAGAATTCTTGGTTTGCAGGTGTCTTCCTAGCATCCCGCAACCATGGCTGCCACCACCGTCTCCGCCAGCCTCAAGGCCGCGTCCCTTGTGCAGCCTAAGGTCAATGCCGCCTCCTTGAAGGCCGCTCCCGTGTCTCAGGCTTTCGGCCTGAAGGCTGCCTCTTCCAAGGTGTCCTGCTCCCTGGAGGAGAACGTCCGCGTCTTCGTCCAGAAGACTGCTGATGCCGGCAAGACCGCTGCTCTTGCTCTCGCCTCGACCGCCCTGCTTGCATCGGTAAGTGATACTTCTTACTCTTTGTGAATTTGATTTTTGTTGGCAGCGCAGTTGCTGACCTAATTATTCGTGTTTATATTTTACAGGCTGCCCAGGCTGAGCTTCCGAGGCTGACCTTCGAGGAGCTCCAGAGCCTCACCTACTCGGAGGTGAAGGGCAGCGGCCTCGCCAACCAGTGCCCCATCATCGCTGGTGGTGTTGATGGCTTCGCCTTCAAGTCCGGCAAGTACCAGCTCACCAAGATGTGCCTGGAGCCCACCTCTTTCACTGTGAAGGCCGAGTCCGTGTTCAAGGGCCAGGGCGAGGAGTTCCAAAAGACCAAGCTCATGACCCGCCTCACATACACTCTGGACGAGATCGAGGGTCCCCTTGAGGTCTCCGGCGACAAGGTCAAGTTCACCGAGGTTGACGGCATTGACTACGCCGCTGTTACCGTCCAGCTTTCCGGTGGCGAGAGGGTGCCGTTCCTCTTCACCATCAAGGAGCTGGTTGCCTCCGGCACGCCCGACAGCTTCGGCGGGTCCTTCCTGGTGCCATCTTACCGTGGTGCCACCTTCCTTGACCCCAAGGGCCGTGGTGGTGCCCAAGGGTACGACTCTGCCGTTGCTCTCCCTGCTGGTGGCTTCGGTGACAACGAGGCCCTGAGGAAGGAGAACGAGAAGTCGTACAAGGCTTTGAGCGGCAACATCACCTTCAGCGTCGCCAAGTCGAACGTTGAGACTGGCGAGATCGGTGGAGTGTTCACCAGCGTCCAGCCCTCCGACACTGACATGGGTGCCAAGGTTCCCAAGGAAGTCAAGATCCAGGGCATCTGGTACGCCCAGGTGAACTAGATTACCGAGCATTGTGCCTGTAAATCAAAGTATCAGAACATTTTTCCCTTCATTCGAAAGTATCATAATTCGTCGACATCTCTGTCATGCTGGCTGTTACCGTATAATCGGCCCTCGAAATGTGCACCACAATGATAAAATCTGTACTCCCATCGCGAAGAAATCGTCGAGAAACCAGCAGCTGGAATCTAATTTATATGCCTCAGATGCCTACTTTCGTTCGATAATGTAATTTTAGCTTATGATGCTCAGGAAGTGCTTAAGAATAGCAGCCACTTAATAGCGAAGAAAGTAGGTATTGGAACTTCATTTTCCGTGTTTCCTTGTACAGTAGCAGTTCCGTCGGTCGGAACTGGTTATGATGAGGGTTCAATTGCCACGTGGCAATCTTGCTATTCACCAATTGCACAAGCCTTGTCAAATCCGCACCGTCCCTTTCGCTGCTCCTCCTTCCTGCCTGCCCACCTCATCAACACCACCCCCAACCGACTTCCCCTCGCCACCCGCGCATTTCCCTTCTGTTGGTCAAACTCAAACTTCAAGAGCACATTCCTGGACTTCCGCCTGTCCGCCATGGCGTCTCTGCTTGCTTCGTCGTTCTTAGTCTCCTCCCCCGCAGCCTCCCTTGCGAGTTGCGCGACTCTGTCAGAGTCATTGTCGCAGGTTGCTTGTACAGCGCCCGTGAACCAGGATGCGCTGAAGGTTGTAGGCTACCCACAAGGCAAGTTGGTTAGGGTTTCGCATTGTTCAATAGCTCCTGCAGTCGTCTCGCATTTCGTTTAGTCTTTGTGAAAGTTGCAGCATAATTCGATTTGAGGAGATATGATATAGGCGGTGACAATTATCCCCTCGCCAGTTTTTCCTGAAAAAAGAGTTTTACATTGTACTGTTGTTGTGGTCTCGGATGATCGCTCTGTGCAGTTTATTGTGGTCGTGGGAACAAGCGTACCGCGAAGGGGAAGAGGACCATTGGATCCTTTGGCAACGTAAGTTGAGACCTAGTATTTGTTCTCATCTGCAAATCCATTATTCCCAAGGAGATGCGATGTGCTGTCTCATGTGTAAAGCCATCAACGACCCCTTTTCCCTCTTCACGAATGATCGGCCCTTGTTCCTCTTTCCTCCTCTCAGTGCCGGCCGAGGTCTTCGAAGGGCAAGAGCCGCCTGGGCCTTCCTCTGACGCCAGTGCCAGCTGGGAGCGGCTCACGCAAGCGCCTGGAGGACGACACAGAGTACATCCACATCGACCTGGACGAGGAGATCAACCGATGAGCTGTCGACGGATAGGTTCTGCTGAGCATGTACTCACAATGTTAGCGCCCTGTTCAATGCAGCGACCCTGTCAAATACTATTTTTGCTCCCATGACTGTGAAGTACTTTTGTGCCCACTTTTTCCCTACGTTTGGACTGTGAAGGAAACACGCTGATTTGGGACCAAAGAAAAAGTGAGCATGCTCTGGGAATTTTTGTGCTCACTTTTTCCCCATCATAAGTTGCTGTGGGATGCTGGGAATTAGGGTTTTGTCATGAGTTCATGGGCAAATGTCTTGCGGTACTAAATGTTCACGCAATGTGCATAATCCTTGGAACTCGGGTGCAATCAGAGATTTCCCAGACTGATATGATATGCTGCACTGATAACGCATGAATTTTAGGCTTGAGTCAGCAGTTCCTCGGTGATGCATTTTTAGAATGTCAATGCTAGAACCTATATCGAGAGGTGGTTTATAGGACGCTGCCAGCGGCTCTCCTTCCATTTTTTTTGTTCCAGTGACAGTTGTGTGTGCATCAGCCACAGCACACAACGCCAGTAAACCAGGCCATTCAACAAACCAGCAATGCCTTCTTGGCGAGCCAACATGCATTTCCTAGTTGCTCCAATGAGTCGAGGATGTTTGGTAGCGAGCAGCATTCGTCCCACTTTATGCCAGAGGATTTGCGGGAGGGTGTCGAGTAGCATGGGGTGGCAATGTCTTCTGTTTAGCCGAAGACGATCAGCGACCTTCGTAATTCCCGATTCGCACCAAATCAAGCTTTCAGGACACCATTGGGACTTCATGTCCCCGCTTCCCCTTCAGTCTGGGAAAATTGCACGTCCAATCGAAAACCAAGAACGTCCGTGGGTCAGCGCTGGTCATGAGATGCAGCTCAGCGCAATTCCACATATTCACTCTCCCAACGGCTCCGCTACTGCACGTGTGGCGGCTATAGATTGCGGGACTAATGCGCTCAGGCTTCTCATATACGAATGCGGCGAAGGAAGTCATTCATGTTCCCAAAGCAGAGAGCTGGTTCGCGAAACGCGCTCAGTGGCACTCGGAGCTGACGTGGCACGCACTGGTTTCCTTTCTCCTGACACTGTTTCCACCTGTCTTGGTATCCTGAGGTACTTCGCTGGCCTATGTCGTGCCCATGGAGTCTCGCGAACGCACATGTGCGCCACGTCAGCGGCCAGGCGTGCAGCCAATGCTGCAGATCTTCTCATCCCAGCCGCACAAGTGATTGGTTCAACTCCTGAGATCATATCAGGGGAAGAAGAGGGCAAGCTGTCGTTCCTTGGCGCCACTGCAGCAGTCAGCAGCGTATTGGCGGGGGTAGTGACGGGAGCACCTCTTGCAGTGGTAGACATTGGCGGTGGTTCATCAGAGTTGGCCTTAGGCACCATCTCTCCTCCCTTCAAGGATGATGTTTCCAGTGCCTCCTCTTTGTCCTCGTCTTCACCCACTATTTCTGGCCCTCACACTATCGTTTCAGTTGACATCGGCTCCTCCTCTCTATCGCACTCCTATTCCCTCCACCTCAGCCCCACCTCTCCGTCCAGCATTGAAGCCGCTCGCCGTGCTGCCAGGGAGGACTACCGCTGCAAACTCTCTCCTGCACTGTCAACGGACTGGTTCAAGCACATTGATCATGTAGGAGGGAGTATGGGGTCTGGAGTGGCAACATGTGGAGTGGAGAGAGTGGTGGTGAGCACAGGAGGGATACTGACAACTCTTGCCGCCCTTGCTCAGGGCGTTCCATACACAAGGGAAAAAGTTCAAGGTTTCGTTTTGGATGTGGAAATGGCGAAAGGGATACTCGACAGGTGCGCAGGAATGACACGAGAGGAGAATGCTCGCTTACCTGGCATGTGGGAAGGCCATGTGGACGTGATTATTGGGGGCATTTGTGCTGTGCTATCATTAATGGAAGTGCTCCAGTGCACAAAATGCATTGTGTCAGAGTCGGATCTCCTGGATGGAATGAGTATCAAACTTTGCTCATGTATGGAAATAGTGTAAATGATAATATCTCATACCACATGGACGATTGCACCTTGTGCGGTCTTTATTGGAAGTGGTGGTTGACATTATTTCAATGGTTGCAAGCAATTGCACAAATGAAAAGCTTATACAATTCAGAGATTTTTTTCCAGAAAACATATGGAGTACAGACTGTACTTGTTCACGACCTTAGCGAAATTGCCATCCCCGAATTTCCGTCGTCAGCGAAGGGGTCTGTGTGATTTGACAAGTTCCAGCGACCATCAGGAGCGAAGCCGCCTCAGCTTTTCATCACAATCGTGCTGCTTTGGTCACTGGGCACTTGTTCGCAATGGATCCCTCAGTGCAGCTTCAGGTTCCCAGACAGTAAATCTAATTTCGTGGTGTGAGGGGTATTTCTGGTTACGTAGATGAGTGGTGAAGAAGGCATCATTATGGCTTTTGGTTGTGGCTCGTTTTCCGGTTCATCCTGGCCAGCAGTCGAATCCATACTGCCACACCAGGTCTCAGTTGTATTTTTAAGCAGGTAAGCGCTTATCGTACCGTATGGTTCCCTATTGTAAGTCGGATTGACACCTTTCGTTTCCTCGAACAGACTCGGCGTATCCTCCTTGCGAGATGTCGAACCTGATTGCTGCGATAACCTTTTGGCGAAACTCCAAAAAGGAGAGGTTTTTACAGGATTACTGCTTGATGGCGGCCTGGTTATCACAACTCGTTCCGCTGTGCCGTCAAAAGAGGCAGCAGCAGGCTTGCATTTGTTGGCGTTCTCGGCTCCCGTTATACGCAAGAACAAGAAAGGACCTCACGCTACGGCTCAACTGATCTGCGCTCCCAAACCTCTATCACCAGAGAGGTTCGTACTCGAATGAATGCCTAGTAGGCTTGGTATAGATAACTAATATACGCTACCCTGACAGGGCATTTGCAACAAATGAGGCGCTCGGTGTCACAATCGTCGCATGCGAACACCTGTCCTGCGGAGAGGAACATGCCTCAGTCGCGTGCAATGTCTTGTCATTGTCTCGAAGCCTTGGAATCGGCTCGAATGCTTTTCTGCTCGTCTATTACTTCGCAGCTCTACGTCTTCCACAAGGAAGCTCATCAAAGATATCTGCTGAGAGCATTCTATCCACTGCGCTTTCATGGAAGCTGAAAAAGGGTCGCGTTCTGGAACTCCACAATTCAAAAGTGGCCTCACATTCAGTGGAAGCAAGCAAAATCAGGATTCAATTTCCTAGCTCTCGCTCTTTCCTGTCAAGCAAAAACGGCAAGTCAGGTGGCCAGCGTGACTTGACAGTTCCAAGCTGTGTGGTGTTCAACAGCGATGGTGAAGTTGCCTCCATAGTGGACCATGGTATGTTCCTTGATGTTAAAGCTTCGCTGATGCGAGTGCATATCCCGAGTGAGCGTGTACTAATACTGTTTCATTGGTGACAATCAGATGCAATGAGCAAGGCTCAAGTTCAGGCTACGCCAGTGAGTGCGGCTCTTGAGTGGATTTCAAGTATGTATGACACGACCAGTACCAGCATAAGGCTTCCTCCCATCAGCTCTCCCAACGAGAGCAGCACCGGTGAGCAAATCCTGGCAGAAGCAGCAGTAGAGGAGCGGCTGACAGAACCAGTACCAGGAAATAGTTCTGACGCCTCTCCAGAAGCAGCATCTGAATCTGTGCCCGGTAACTTGGACACAGCCACGGAGCAAAGGGGTGAAGACTCACTGGAGCAGGGTGATGCATCAGCTCCTGATGCTGTGGATGCAAGTTCACTGACCGATCAAGTTAACGAGACCAATGTCACTGCAAACTCTGACAGTGGGGTGGGTGCTGCTAATTCCACAGCTGATAATGAGGAATGTCATGCTGTGGAAGTGCCTTCTACTAACCAGATGGCAGCGGATGTTGTGGAGAGTGCGCATGTTGACACCATTGCTCCCATGCAATCCGCTGAGAAGCAGAAGCTAAGTCATGAAGAGCTAAAAGCACGCATAATGGGTTATGGCAACACGAGCGTTCTGATGATGAGACAGCAAGCTCGAGCAGACGTTTCCAGGCATGTAGAGTTAGCTGGTATAGTCGCTGGCGTGCAGGCAACGGCAGTTGGAGCCAAAAATACCTCATCCATCAGCTCCTCTGCAGAAGGGAGAGGCTCTGAGGGTGGCTTCATTGGGGAAGCAGGCAGTATCTCACGTAAGCCAGCACTCTGGCGATTTGGATCGACTGGCCAGCAGGCAGCTGCAGCCACAATGGCATCAGATGCAGCAGGCAACGAGGGAGTCCCTCAGAAGACTGCATTGAACAACATGCCATCCCTGCAAATGATCGTGGCTGCTCCTGTAGCAGCATTTGTGGGATTGGGGACCAAAATGAGTGGTGCAATGGTGGATCTTGGAAGTGCACTCAGGAAGCACCAAGAGCATGGAGCTCAGGTGGCTGAAATGAGTGAATCGGACAAGAAGAAGCTCCAGGTATGAATCGATTAAACATGTAAGGCAAGATTCAAGCACGTGTCATTGAGCTGACGCTATGTACTTGTTGAGTGCAGGAACAAGAGGTGCGCAGACAAGATGCATACAAAAACGCTTCTGCATCCCTCTTCAAAACGAGTCACCATCAAGAGCGGCTATCTACCCTAAACCTGCAAGTCCCCCTACCTGATATGGAGAACCCTGAGAACGTGTTACACCTGGATCAAGCTGCTGACGTTGAGGTTGGTGATTCGAGGGGTTTGGAGTCACAAGCGAGTGCAGGGACTGGTTGCAACGTGATGTTTGGAGTAGGATTTCAGCAAGGTGATGAGAAGGATGGAGATGATTTCAGCAAAGGGAAGGAGGCCACTGAGGCTAGTGGGGTTGGTTTCAGTGAAGGGAGAAGAGTATGTGAGCTGGATGGAGGCCAACAAGGTATAGGCATGGAAGGAGGCTCCTATGCATGTGATCATTCAACAGCCTTGAGCGGAAGCCTCAGTATAGACTTGTCCAAAGAGATGAAGGGCGAGCATTCATCAGAGATTGTTGTTGGTGCGAGGTCCAGTGACGGTTCAAGCAAGTCAAGTGAGCAGTCCATCCACAGCCACTCCAGAGACAGCACCGGCAGCAGCAGCTCAACCGACCATGTCAAAGAGAAGTGGCCTCTTGCGACCCGAACGAGCACTCAGAGCATCCCGATGGGCGCACGGCGTCCACGGGTCATATTGGATGACCACTGGTGGAAGACGAAGCTGGTTGGTGAGGAGCCAGGGCGCCGTTTGGTGGCTGCTCAGCTAGCCAGGGAGGCAATGCTGATGCAAGGGGGTTCAGGTAATGTCTCACGGCTGGAGGGACGCATTGGGGGACTGGAGGCGCCCACTCCTCTTGCATCACGTTCCAATTCTGGAGTCCCACTGGCTATAAGGAAGGGAGCCATCACAGCAGCTCTGCATGAGGAAGGAACGGATGTGGCTCAGGGCTCCAATGCTGATGTTTCCAAGCCTGAGGGGGAAGGAGGAGATATTCCTGATGCAGCTGATGGTGCATCTCACGGCCTTGCTGAAAAGTGTGTGACTGACCCACCAGGGGTTGCTGCTGATGGGGCAAGTGCATGCATGGACATGCTGGAGCACACTGGTGGTGACCATGGCATTGGGTTGCATGGAGCACAAGGGAACTATTCAGTGGGCAAAGGATCTGGAACAACGCTAAGTAAGGTTGAAGTCACGCTGCCCAGCACTGTTAATCAGGCTGATGTGGCGGTACTTCAGCAGCCATGCCAGACTGCGATTGCCAATCAAGACAACTGGTGAGTATTTTCCCGTCCTTTGTATCGTATCATTTGTCACATCCAGTACCTCATTCATGGCTGTCAGTGTGAGCAAGACGGAGCACAAGACCCCAGTGAAGCTAGTCCCTCCTCCGGTGGACAAGAAGCTCCAGTCAGGCTTCGATGGGCTCATGCAGGCAGTTGAGTCGCTGGCCACCATGAGTGTTTCCCGCTCTCCTGGAGCCAAGCCATGGGCCTCAAGCAACCGAGGAACAGACAAGGGAGCCACCCGCCAGAGCGCGCAGCCCTCAAGCCCCGTGCTGACATATGATGGAGGAATAACCAGTCAGGGGAAGCGTCAAACTGAGCCGAGGCAAGCTGCGGCCCGGGTCACAAGACAAGCAGCTATGTTCCCAGCCACTTCTTTTTCCAGCAACAATCAAAGCTCTTCAAGTGGTGAGAAGTGATCAGCTACACCTGCATTGTACGATTTATACGTGTAGCATCCTGCATAGTTTCTTCCCCTCACCTTTTCACATCCTCTTATGTTCGACTGGCAGGTCACAGGCTCCCTGCAGTATCACCAGAGCACACTGAAGAGTTTGCTCACAAGGCAGGGGTGCTGAGCCTGCAGCAGCAGGCAGCGTGGCTGTGGAGCAGTGCACAGCACATGGCTGCACGGGGCACAAGGGCCAGCTCTGCATCAAGCGACGGGGACTCCCAGGCCAGGGGTAGCGGTGTGGAGCGTGACAGGGTGAGTGGCAGGGCGAGTGACAGGGTGAATGGGCTGTCAGGCATAACGAGTGCCAGGACCAGCTCGAGTGTGAGGAGCAGTGCTGGAGGAGTGGGGGCTGGGAAGAGCCCAGCACCTGTTGCTGACTTGATGACTAGAAAGCAGGCTTATGAGTATTTGAAGGAGCATCAGAAGGAATGTGCACATATGGGACCTCGTACTCTTCATTGACCTGCGGTGTGGTTGAGTGGAGTACGGTACTTGCCTTTGCATCAGATCATGAGCTGGGGAGTAAGGTACTCTAGAGCTGATGCCATTATGCATGTTGACCATACTAGATAAGAAACCCAAACAAAAATGGTGCGGTATTTTTCTGTGTGCGAGTGAGTGATGGCCTAAGACAAAGCGGATCTGTAGTGTGTGTGTGCACCCTGTGGAACACAGGGTTGTTCCACCTCGTTGGACATGGACGTGCAACGTTGATCAAATGTAGTATGATCTCATTTTACTTGCGGTGTGTACCGTACATACATAAAAATTATACTGTTGTAGTAAAGTACAATGACCTACGGTACACCGTGAATTTACACTTTTCACAAGACAGGTTCTATTGATCCTGAGTCCGCAGATCATCACACGCTCCAATGATCAACTGCAGTAAGGAACTATTTTCCAGGCGCATCGTTCTATCTGCTGAGCTATGCGGAGTATCATTTTAAACTCCTTATCGCTCCACCTACGTTACGCAATCAGACTCGAACCATCGCCCTCTGTACAGACTAACCAGCAAAACACGGAGAAACTAGCGTGTCCCACAGTCTCGCGAGGATTGACGTGTTTCCCAACCCAGCCACATCCATTCCCGCCGGTGCTACCGCCTTCCGCAACTCACGCCCGTTCCCCCCTTCCCTCTTCCCGTCTAGTAGTTTGCGCATCTTCCCGTCGCGGAGGATCCCGACCTGCGCCGCGCGGGTTTTCCGTGCGCGAGGCGATGCGCGGAGGGGTGGACTCGGAGGGGCGGCAGTATGCGTCGGCGGACGAAATGTGGCGGCAGGAGACGGGGGAACGCGCAGTGAGCGCGGGGGAAGGGGGAGGCGGGGAGGGCGCAATGGAGGGGGAACTGGGTGGGAAGAAGCGCGAATGGTACGACAAGGGCGTCAAGTACTGGGAGGTATGCGCTGCCTCTCCCCTCCTTCCCCCCATCTCCCCCCTCATTCTTTCCCCCTCCCTTCTTTCTCACAACTGTTTGCTCTCCCTGCCTCCCTCTCCTGCGCTTCCTGTGCCCTCGATTACCCTCTGATCTCGATTCCTGTTCCCTCCCAGCCCCCACCATTCCCCTATTCGCCCCCCTTGCACCACTCTTCCTCCCGCCAACTCGTGCATCCCAAGGGCGTGCACGTGGGTGCGGAAGGCGTGTTGGGGGGTTACGGTGTCTTTGGAGGCGTCCCGAAGCTCACCTCCTTTTTTATCCCCCCTTTCCCTCTCCCCCCCACGCCACTCGTACATGGTAAGGGCGTGGATGCGAGTGTGGACGGCGTGTTGGGGGGCTACGGCGCCTTTTAAGGCGCCCCACTTTGCCTCTTTCCCTCCCCTCCCCCCTTCTCCCACCCCTCTCCTCCGTCGTGCATGGTAAGGGCGTGGAGGCGAGTGTGGATGGCGTGTTGGGGGGATACGGCGCGGTGAGCTCAACAGACGCGGCAGGCAGCGCGGCCTTCCTGCACGAGGTGTACGGCACTCAGCTCGAAGCTGCCCGCTCACAAGGCCGGCCGCTGGTCGCTCTGGGTGCGTGCAGTGCAGTGAGAGGGGGGGGCGGAGGAGGGGGGGGGGGTAAAGGGGGCAGCGTGGCCTTCCTGCACGAGGTGTACGGCACGCAGCTGGACACTGCCCGCTCACAGGGCCGCCCACTCGTGGCTCTGGGTGCGTGCACTGAGAGGGGAGGGGGAGTGGGGGGAGGAAAGCGGGAAAGGGGGGCTGGGTGGGGGTAGCAGTGGGCAGTGCAGCGTGCGTGCGTGCATGGCGAGTACTTCCGCCACTGCTGCACTGCCTGTCATGGCTGCCACTGCTGCATTGCCTGTCATGGCTGCCACTGCTGCATTGCCTGTCATGGCTGCCACTGCTGCATTGCCTGTCATGGCTGCCACTGCTGCATTGCCTGTCATGGCTGCCACTGCTGCATTGCCTGTCATGGCTGCCACTGCTGCACTGCCTGTCATGGCTGCCACTGCTGCATTGCCTGTCATGGCTGCCACTGCTGCACTGCCTGTCATGGCTGCCACTGCTGCATTGCCTGTCATGGCTGCCACTGCTGCACTGCCTGTCATGGCTGCCACTGCTGCATTGCCTGTCATGGCTGCCACTGCTGCATTGCCTGTCATGGCTGCCACTGCTGCATTGCCTGTCATGGCTGCCACTGCTGCACTGCCTGTCATGGCTGCCACTGCTGCATTGCCTGTCACGGCTGCCACTGCTGCACTGCCTGTCATGGCTGCCACTGCTGCATTGCCTGTCATGGCTGCCACTGCTGCACTGCCTGTCATGGCTGCCACTGCTGCATTGCCTGTCATGGCTGCCACTGCTGCATTGCCTGTCATGGCTGCCACTGCTGCACTGCCTGTCATGGCTGCCACTGCTGCATTGCCTGTCATGGCTTCCACTGCTGCATTGCCTGTCATGGCTGCCACTGCTGCATTGCCTGTCATGGCTGCCACTGCTGCATTGCCTGTCATGGCTGCCACTGCTGCACTGCCTGTCATGGCTGCCACTGCTGCATTGCCTGTCATGGCTTCCACTGCTGCATTGCCTGTCATGGCTGCCACTGCTGCATTGCCTGTCATGGCTGCCACTGCTGCATTGCCTGTCATGGCTGCCACTGCTGCATTGCCTGTCATGGCTTCCACTGCTGCATTGCCTGTCATGGCTGCCACTGCTGCATTGCCTGTCATGGCTGCCACTGCTGCATTGCCTGTCATGGCTGCCACTGCTGCATTGCCTGTCATGGCTGCCACTGCTGCATTGCCTGTCATGGCTGCCACTGCTGCATTGCCTGTCATGGCTGCCACTGCTGCATTGCCTGTCATGGCTTCCACTGCTGCATTGCCTGTCATGGCTGCCACTGCTGCATTGCCTGTCATGGCTGCCACTGCTGCATTGCCTGTCATGGCTGCCACTGCTGCACTGCCTGTCATGGCTGCCACTGCTGCATTGCCTGTCATGGCTGCCACTGCTGCATTGCCTGTCATGGCTGCCACTGCTGCATTGCCTGTCATGGCTGCCACTGCTGCACTGCCTGTCATGGCTGCCACTGCTGCATTGCCTGTCATGGCTGCCACTGCTGCATTGCCTGTCATGGCTGCCACTGCTGCATTGCCTGTCATGGCTGCCACTGCTGCATTGCCTGTCATGGCTGCCACTGCTGCATTGCCTGTCATGGCTGCCACTGCTGCACTGCCTGTCATGGCTGCCACTGCTGCATTGCATGTCATGGCTGCCACTGCTGCATTGCCTGTCATGGCTGCCACTGCTGCATTGCCTGTCATGGCTGCCACTGCTGCATTGCCTGTCATGGCTGCCACTGCTGCATTGCTTGTCATGGCTGCCACTGCTGCACTGCCTGTCATGGCTGCCACTGCTGCATTGCCTGTCATTGCTGCCACTGCTGCACTGCCTGTCATGGCTGCCACTGCTGCATTGCCTGTCATGGCTTCCACTGCTGCATTGCCTGTCATGGCTGCCACTGCTGCATTGCCTGTCATGGCTGCCACTGCTGCACTGCCTGTCATGGCTGCCACTGCTGCACTGCCTGTCATGGCTGCCACTGCTGCATTGCCTGTCATGGCTGCCACTGCTGCATTGCCTGTCATGGCTGCCACTGCTGCATTGCCTGTCATGGCTGCCACTGCTGCACTGCCTGTCATGGCTGCCACTGCTGCACTGCCTGTCATGGCTGCCACTGCTGCATTGCCTGTCATGGCTGCCACTGCTGCATTGCCTGTCATGGCTGCCACTGCTGCACTGCCTGTCATGGCTGCCACTGCTGCACTGCCTGTCATGGCTGCCACTGCTGCACTGCCTGTCATGGCTGCCACTGCTGCACTGCCTGTCATGGCTGCCACTGCTGCACTGCCTGTCATGGCTGCCACTGCTGCATTGCCTGTCATGGCTGCCACTGCTGCATTGCCTGTCATGGCTGCCACTGCTGCATTGCCTGTCATGGCTGCCACTGCTGCATTGCCTGTCATGGCTGCCACTGCTGCATTGCCTGTCATGGCTGCCACTGCTGCACTGCCTGTCATGGCTGCCACTGCTGCATTGCCTGTCATGGCTTCCACTGCTGCATTGCCTGTCATGGCTGCCACTGCTGCATTGCCTGTCATGGCTGCCACTGCTGCACTGCCTGTCATGGCTGCCACTGCTGCATTGCCTGTCATGGCTTCCACTGCTGCATTGCCTGTCATGGCTGCCACTGCTGCATTGCCTGTCATGGCTGCCACTGCTGCATTGCCTGTCATGGCTGCCACTGCTGCATTGCCTGTCATGGCTGCCACTGCTGCATTGCCTGTCATGGCTGCCACTGCTGCACTGCCTGTCATGGCTGCCATTGCTGCACTGCCTGTCATGGCTGCCACTGCTGCATTGCCTGTCATGGCTGCCACTGCTGCATTGCCTGTCATGGCTGCCACTGCTGCATTGCCTGTCATGGCTGCCACTGCTGCATTGCCTGTCATGGCTGCCACTGCTGCATTGCCTGTCATGGCTGCCACTGCTGCATTGCCTGTCATGGCTGCCACTGCTGCATTGCCTGTCATGGCTTCCACTGCTGCATTGCCTGTCATGGCTGCCACTGCTGCATTGCCTGTCATGGCTGCCACTGCTGCATTGCCTGTCATGGCTGCCACTGCTGCACTGCCTGTCATGGCTGCCACTGCTGCACTGCCTGTCATGGCTGCCACTGCTGCACTGCCTGTCATGGCTGCCACTGCTGCATTGCCTGTCATGGCTGCCACTGCTGCATTGCCTGTCATGGCTGCCACTGCTGCATTGCCTGTCATGGCTGCCACTGCTGCATTGCCTGTCATGGCTTCCACTGCTGCATTGCCTGTCATGGCTGCCACTGCTGCATTGCCTGTCATGGCTGCCACTGCTGCATTGCCTGTCATGGCTGCCACTGCTGCACTGCCTGTCATGGCTGCCACTGCTGCATTGCCTGTCATGGCTGCCACTGCTGCATTGCCTGTCATGGCTGCCACTGCTGCATTGCCTGTCATGGCTGCCACTGCTGCATTGCCTGTCATGGCTGCCACTGCTGCATTGCCTGTCATGGCTGCCACTGATGCATTGCCTGTCATGGCTGCCACTGCTGCATTGCCTGTCATGGCTGCCACTGCTGCATTGCCTGTCATGGCTGCCACTGCTGCATTGCCTGTCATGGCTGCCACTGCTGCACTGCCTGTCATGGCTGCCACTGCTGCATTGCCTGTCATGGCTGCCACTGCTGCATTGCCTGTCATGGCTGCCACTGCTGCATTGCCTGTCATGGCTGCCACTGCTGCATTGCCTGTCATGGCTGCCACTGCTGCATTGCCTGTCATGGCTGCCACTGATGCATTGCCTGTCATGGCTGCCACTGCTGCATTGCCTGTCATGGCTGCCACTGCTGCATTGCCTGTCATGGCTGCCACTGCTGCATTGCCTGTCATGGCTGCCACTGCTGCATTGCCTGTCATGGCTGCCACTGCTGCATTGCCTGTCATGGCTGCCACTGCTGCATTGCCTGTCATGGCTGCCACTGCTGCATTGCCTGTCATGGTTGCCACTGCTGCATTGCCTGTCATGGCTGCCACTGCTGCATTGCCTGTCATGGCTGCCACTGCTGCATTGCCTGTCATGGCTGCCACTGCTGCATTGCCTGTCATGGCTGCCACTGCTGCATTGCCTGTCATGGCTGCCACTGCTGCATTGCCTGTCATGGCTGCCACTGTTGCATTGCCTGTCATGGCTGCTACAGAAATAGCTCCAGGGCCCCGGGCACAGGGCCAGCCACGCCTCGGGTGATGCAGCGAGATGCGCCAGAGGGGCAGAGAGATGTGGACTCGTTGGGGTAGCTGCGGTTCATGGGGTCACAGGCTAACTCTAGCCCACTCTCCATATGGCCTGTGCCCTGAACCCCACACCATCGTCCCTTTTCTGCAGCATGCCGCACCCTCTGCCGTTCACCTCTCTCCTTCCTTGGCCCTCCCACCATCCCGCATGGCAGACTGTGGGGCGGGCATAGGGCGAGTGACCAAGGAATTCCTACTGCACGTCTTCAACGAGGTGTGTGGGTGGGTGTGCTGTGCGTGACGTGCACATCATACATCATACATCATACATCATACATCATACATCATACATCATACATCATACATCATACAGCACACCACACTGCATTCCACTCTGCCTGTGTCACACTTTGAGTGCACCTTATGGACCGTCGTGCGTTCAGGTTGACTGAATCCGATTTTCCTACGCCCCTCCGTCTGCCATAACCCCTCCTCTGTGCCTGCACTGCACTCCCAGGTGGATCTAGTGGATCCAGTACGGCACTTCATAGGTGCCGTCCGGGACCTAGCACTCCTTCTCAAAACAACATTTTCCTATGCCCAACCCCTCTGCCCCCCAATATGGATGCACTGCCAGGTGGATCTAGTGGAGCCGGTACGGCACTTCATAGATGCCGCCCGGGACCACCTCTCCTCGCCGCCCTCCTCTGCCGCCTCGCCTGCTTCCGCCCACCGTGCAGTCAACTTCTTCTGCTGCCCGCTCCAGGTGCTGCCCGCTCCAGGTGCTGCCTTTCCAAAGTAAATCCCCCTTTCTGCGTGCTTCACATGCATTGTCGCTTCCCTCCCCCTTGCCTCACGCCCTTTGCCTAACGTTTTTTACACTCCTCTCCTCTCAACCCCGCTGACCGCTCTCTCCCCTTCTGCACCCCTCACACGCGTCCCTGCACCGCCACTGCACTGTACAACCCTCACTGCTGTGCGTGACGGCAGGAATTCAACCCAGATTTAGGGCGGTACGACGTGGTGTGGGTGCAGTGGTGCATCGGCCACCTCACTGACGCCGACCTCATCGCCTTCCTCCACCGCTGCCTCGTAACCCCATCTGCCCTTGCTTCTCTTGCTGCTCTGGCTGCCATTGCCGCGTTTGCTGCAATTGCTGCTCGTCCTGCGCCTGCCCGCATCGTCGTGTTCACTCCCGACTGCTTCACTTCCCGCTTCCCTCCAACTCTTTCCTTCTCCCTCCCTCTCTCTGCGACCATGCCTGCCCTCGGCCCACGTGCAGGCAGGGTTGCGGCCAGGAGGCATCATAGTGCTCAAGGAGAACACGTGCCAAAAAGGTGACTTTTGGGTGGTGGGGGAGAGTACGTGTCACAAAGGGCACCACAGTTCCCTCGTCCTTCCACCCCACGCCGTGTCACCCCAAACATGCAATTCATGACGCGGGTGTTGTAGCTGTTGTGGAGTGCATTTTCATCTGCCATGTGCGCGTGCGGGCATTGCTTGTGTGTGTGGGTGTGTGTGTTGGGGGATGGGTGGGTGCGCTTGGACTGCATGCCTGCATGGATGCATCATGCATGCACGTGTGCATGGATGCATGGGTGCATGGACGTATGCGTGTCTGCATGGGCACATGCGTGCATGCATGTGTGCATGCAGGGTTTGTATTGGACAAGGCGGATAGCAGTGTGACGCGCAGCGATGCATACTTCAGAGACCTCTTCAAACAGGCCGACCTGCAGCTCCTCAAATCCAAGGTACCGCACTTGAATTCGAGGTACCCAACTCCAATGTACAGCATGTAAGGCCACCAGCGTACCCAATTGTCAAGGTACCCAATTGTCAAGGTACCCAATTGTCAAGGTACCCAATTGTCAAGGTACCCAATTGTCAAGGTACCCAATTGTCAAGGTACCCAATTGTCAAGGTACCCAATTGTCAAGGTACCCAATTGTCAAGGTATAACTTTTCTTGATCCAAAACAAGCTTCTCAACTCAAGGTACCCATGGGTCCGAGGGAAGTGTCACCACATGCGCGTCTGCTGATTTCATCCCACCAGCTGTCGGTACCCTCATCCCGACCATCCTTCCTCTCGGCTCTCCCCTGCTCTTCTCACCTGCCAGGTGCAGCGGGGGTTCCCCTCGGAGCTGTTTGTGGTGAAGATGTACGAGCTCACACCACAGCCCTCGTCTGACGTGGGAGTCGCCGGGCGCACACGGCAACGCAGCAAAAGGCCCAACCAACCTGCTGTCATCTATTGACACTGAGAGACTGCCCTTGCTGCCTGCTTGCCTGCCTGTCTGCCTAGCTAGCGCTGCCCTGGCGTGCTTTCCATTGGTTAGTTGTCACAGGTGCAGCTGCTCTGATATGCATCCTGTGCACTGGGAGCGTGTGTGAATCGCACCGGTACATGCTGGTTGCTGCAGCCCCATGTGAGACGGATAACTAAGCATTGTGATGCACAATTCTCTTTTGAGAAGTGTACGCTCCTTGCTCATAGCATCACTGGCGAGACAACATTCACTACCATATGAGGCAGCAAGAATTGCACAAGTATCCAGGGTGGCAAAGGGCATCATCCTGAGTTGGCATCCCAGGTGGGTGCCATCACTGCGTATCAATGCATCCCACGTGGGTGCCATCACTGCATCCACGCGGGCTTTTTGAACTCGATGCTCATCTTGCTGAACGTGCTCTTCAGCACGTGGTGTGCGTGTGCGATGTTCTGTGCATGCACACTCTCCCTCACTGCCGGCTCGTTCAGAGGCAGCCAGAAGCTACCATCCTGCTCTTGCTCCTCCGCACCACCCCCACTGCCATTACGCTCCTCCCTCTCTTGCTCTGGCATCTCTCCTGCTGCTGCTGCTGCTCTGGCAGAGCCATCTGAGCTACCTGGAGCCGCCCCCCCTACAGTCACACTGTAGCCCTCATCCGCCCTGCCCCTGTTCTCAGCCTCTGACAGCACTGCCCCAGCCTCCTGCCCTGCGCCAGCACCATCTGACAGCAACCCTGCCTCTGCTCCCACCTGCCCATTTTCTGCCCGCCCCTCTGCTGCTGCCCGCGCACCACCCTCACTTTCCCCTGCTTCTCCTGCTCCTGCTCCTGCTCCTGCTGCTGCTGCTGCTGCTGCTGCTGCGGCTACTTGTGCATCTGCCAACACATCAGAATCATCATCTGCTGCCAGCACCACCGGATCCCGTCGTCGGGGGCTCGCGATAACAGACGCAGGTATACCCCAGAAGGCCTGAGATCGGGCGTCATCGGCGCGCATGGCTTGGCTGTACGCGGGCAGCTCGAAGGCCCACGTGGAGCGGCCTCCAAAGCCCTGGTCGAGATTATCCAAGTCGAAGATCTCTTCGAGGTTGGCGATGGTGGCGGGCTTGCTGGGGTACACGAATAGGATCTTTTTGAACGTGGTGGGGTCCACGAACGGCCGGATCATCTGAGTGAAGAGGGGGCATGCAGGAGGGGCATTCAGGGGTGAGGGTGGGAGCATGGGAGCATCTGAGCAGTGGGGTCGGGGCACGTGAGGAGCATGCAAGGATGGAGGAATCAAGGCGTGCAACACAAGAGTCAAAACGATGCCCAACCCCAAAAAACTAAAAAACTATCCCAACTCGCACACCCCCCAACTCACACGCCCCTCTGGCCCCACCTTCCAGAACGTCTCAAAGACGGGCGGCGGGTCGTAGACCACAGCCTGGCCCAGCCGCTCGGGGTAGTGGTTCTGCAGGATGGAGAGCACCTCGCGCGATGTCTTGAGGGGTGGTGCCTTGCGCAGCGTCCAGCCGCGGAAGTCGATGAACCACACCATGCGGCTGTGCGCCGTGCCCGCTGGCAGGTGGTTGATGGCGTTCTCTAGCGCGTACACCAGGTGCCGCACCTGCCCCGCATGCCCTGCCGTGTTCTGCGCTCCAATGTGGGCTCCCAGAAAAGGGTGTGTGATTGCTTGATTGCTTGATTGCTTGCATTCAGTGATTCTAATGCGTCGGACTAGGCAGGCACTTGGTGAGCGTGGGTGAGCATTCGCAGCGGGGTTTCAGTGCGGGATCAGGCGGATATGGCTCACCTGGCGGCCAGCGGACATGACAATGACGGCGCGGCCCTGCTTGTCCAGAAATTCCGTGCGGTACACCTTGCCTGTCGCCGCTTCTTCCGCCACGTCCTCCTGAACCAACCAAGCCGCAAAAACCCACAAAAAAGGTTCGCGACCAGGTTAAATCGTCCATTAGATTAAAACGTAGACGCATTTGAGCGAAGGGGGAGGCTGTTTTGGATTCAGGAAGCGTCTGAGGAGTAACCGCGGCCGTACCCACGTGATCTCTTCTGGTCGGTACACGTGTCGCCAGCGCAGCGTGTCGCGGAGCATCTTCTCCGCCTTGGACACATTCCAGCTCCGCGCGCGCAGGTAGCGCCGTAGGCACGCGTCCGTGCAGAACAGCTTCGCGCGCCCCGCCAGCGGACCGATGGCTTCCCGCAGCGCCTTCACCTGACCAATCCCGGAGAAACATAGTCGGGAATATGGTATCTGACGAAACGCTCAAGCAGCAATCATGTTGTGTTGTTCTCAAGATTTGGCTAGGCCTATCCAGAACGCAAGGGGAGGCGAGGAGCGGTAGAGACTTGGTCCTGGCGGCAATGAAACCGTTACCTTTGCTTCCTGCTCCTCGGGAGTGTCGACCGGCTTCTCCGGCGTGAGCAGGTTGGGGCTGCTCACGGCGGCTCGGAACGACGCGAACTTCTCCTGGCTGAACGCCTCTAGCTTGTCCGCGAACGTCGCTCGCGCCGGCTTATCTGCTTTCTCTGATACGCCTGTTTTCTGGTCAGATTGATCGGCTTGTGACGTCATCATGACTCTGTCGGGTACTGAGTCAGGCAGAAGGCACCTATTGATCAGCAGAAGCTATCGTGCAATTCTTAGGACTCAGGTTGACTTACTAGAAGCTATTCAGAAAGATACCCGACTATCGGTCGGCTATGGAATCTGCATAATCCGATAGGAGTAGAATGATAGGTGGAATGAGTGGTGCCAGCCTAGATTCCTCACGGTCGCCTTGCGTCGTCGCTTCAGTCGTCCGAGCTCTGTTACACCTTCCAAGCTCGTCGCTGAAGCCGCACACAGTCGCTTGGCAGCGTGCTTGACTTGTGCGACGGATTGGGTTGGGGAATTGTCAACGATTTGAAGGCCAACAATTTCAAGGTCCCTGGCTGACCAATCGGGTGCCGAGGAAAACAATGGTGTTGACATACAGTGTTTGCATTGCACAAAGATAGCGAGTGCTTGCATATCGGGGAGGCACACCTCCAGCCTGGAAACTGCCGTACAACTGACATGGCAGATTAAACAAATGCGCCAAGCAGCAGCACATAAAAAATATATTCACTGGTAGTTATTGCTCCCGAAATCGCACGGTTATGACTCCCGCCAAGTGCGGCCACAGATATTCGTCGATTGCCATCACCTGTTGACCATGTCGGACTCTCTTCCTATCGATTCTGTCTCAGCCCCACCCTCCGCTGCTTCCCCCACCGACTTGCATCATCGCACGCGGTTAGGGACTCAATACAATGATGCATGCCCTCCCGTCAACTCACGTGTTGCAGGGGGGGCCGACGAAACCCGCGCAGATCCCGGCAGCAGCAGCGGCGGCGGCGGCGGCGCAGCATGGACGCCGTTCCGGCGGGACCTGGTGGTGCTGGGCGCGGCGTTCCTCGCGCTCTTCGCGGCGTACAGCGCCATTCAGAACCTCGAGACGTCGCTGCACCCGCGCGCCGGCATGGGCGCCGTGTCCCTCGCCGTGATCTACGGCGGCATCGTCGTGTTCGCGCCGCTCGCGCCCGCCGTGATCCGTTACTTGCGGCCGCGAGGCGCGATGCTGGTGGGCATGTCGGGGTACTGCGCGTACATCGCCGCCAACGCCGTCGATTCCAGGTACTGCCATCACCCGGGCCGCGCTCGCGATGCAGCAAATCGCCCACGAGGAATCTTCAAGAGCCTCTGCTGCTGATGTTCCTGGTTCCTCGACGCCCGCCTCCTGCGGGTGCAAGAGGATACGCTGACTTGCCTCCTGCGGGTGCAAGAGGATACGCTGACTTGCCTCCTGCGGGTGCAAGAGGATACGCTGACTTGCCTCCTGCGGGTGCAAGAGGATACGCTGACTTGCATCCTCCGTGTGACGTGCCTTACCCCAACCCTCTCCGCCCTTCCCCCTCCCTTGCTTCCCCATGCATCCCCGTCAGCGCGCAGCTGGTTGCTGCTGCTGTCCGCGGGGTACCTGGGCGCGAGCGCGTCCGTGCTGTGGGTGGCGCAGGGGCTCTACAGCGTCATGCTCGCGCGCGGACACGCCGCCGCCGCGGGCGTGGCGGAGCAGGCGGCGATCGCGGAGTTCAGCGGAATCTTTTGGGGAATGTTCGCTGCGAACCAGGTGGTGGGCAACGCCGTCGCCTTCCTCGTCTGCCGGCTCATGGCTCTCCTCTTCCCCCCCGCGCCCGCTGCGCTTGCTACTCCCGCTGCACCTTCTCCTCAGAGTCTACCTCCCGCTACAGTCACGGTGCTGATAGTCACGTTTCTGCTGTTCCTGGCGCTGGCCGCCGCGCTGACGTGGCGGCTGACTGACCTGTCGGAGGACCACCCCCTCTGCTGCCCCTCGCCTGCTCCTCTTGTAGATGGTGTGGCGGAGGGGGATGAGAGGGGGGATGAGGGAGAAGGGAAGGCGTTGCTGGGAAGCGAAGTGGTGGCAGGGCGACCGGAGGAGTGGGGGGCGGTGGAGCAGTCAGGGCCGGCAGGAGGGGTGGGGGAGGGGGCGGGTAAGAGGGCAAAGGGGGAGCGCAGCGCATGGGAGTTGCTGGGGGAGCGGCGGCTGCAGCTTCTGCTGCCTCTGCTGCTGTACATCGGGCTGCAGTCTGCCTTCGTCGCGTGCGTCCCTGCCATGCCCTGCCACACCTCATCACGCCCTGACACGCCCGGCCACTAGCGTTCTCACTACCCCACCTTTGCCCAATCCGGGCTTCTTTTTTGCCTCTCATGTAACGTGCTCCTCTCGTCCCATCACTCGCTGTCACATAGCGCATCCCCCCCCCATGCTTCCTTCCCCACATCCTGTTTCCCCGGGCCCCCAATCCATCAGGGCGGACTTCACGCTGTACGTGGTGCGCCCAGCGCTGGGAGTGGCGTGGATCGGCGGGGTCATGTCCGTGTTTGGCGTCGCCAACAGCCTGGTGAGCTGGGCGCTGTGCTGCTTGCTGCTATGTCCCCCTGCCGTATCATCACTCCTGCGCTCTGTGTGCTTCCTGCCTTACATGGAGTCATGCCCGCATGCTGCAGAGGTACTGACTGCACACACTCCCTCCTTCCTCCCTCCTATTCCCTCCCCTGCACTCCGCCCCGCCCAGGCGTGCATGGCAGCGGCGCGCCTCTCCTCGGGGCTGCACTCTATCCTCGCTACGCTGCTAGTCGGCGCTGCCTGTCAGATCGCTGTGCTGCTCTCCCTCCTGCTCTTCACGTCATTGTCAGTGCCCGTCTATGCCACGCCATCTTACACAATTCTCCCAAAACCATACTGTGTCACAAAAAACCTTTCCACACAACATCATCTCATGAGTTCAACGTCTGTGCTGTGCCATGTGCTGCAATGGCTATTATTGAACTGCGGTGTTCCCCACCTCCCTGCAACTCCCATTCTCAACTGTGACCTATTCCTCCCCTTTGCTCACATGCCGTTCGCCCTTGTTCCCACCTCCCCTCTCTCCCCCCTTAATCCCTTCCCCCCTTTCTTCTCCTCTCTGCTCCAGCACCGCCCCCTCATGGGTGGCATTCACGGGGGTGTTGCTGCAGGCAGTGCTGTGGGGGGTGGGGGATGCTGCCTTCCAGTCGCAGATCAACGCACTGCTGCCACTCGTCTTCCCTCGAGACATGGTGGGTGGACCCCACACCCACACCCGTCTCCCACTGCCTTCTTTAACAACCACACCACCCACGCTTCCTTTCATCCGTAACTTTGCTCTTGCCCGTTCCCTTCCATTGCCCACTATGCATCACTGGCTGTCCCTCCCCGCATACCCCACCCCACCCTCCCCGTTTCCTTAACCCATCGTCTCGTTTCCATCCATTCGCTGTCATTACCCACCCCATGCCACCCTTTTCTTCTCACCGCATCCCGCCCTTCCTGCTCCCTCGCTACAGGACGCCTCGTTTGCGCACATGAAGATGTGGACCAGTGCCGCCTCCTCACTCATGTTCCTCCTCAGCCCGCATCTCTCTATGCCCGCCAAAGCAGCCTTCCTCACCGCCTCCTGTGCCGTCTCCCTGCCTCTCATGCTCGCTGTTGTGCATGTGCCATAGATCGCACGTCAGTGCTGCGTAACTGCCTCTCTGTGTTATATTTGCAGATCAAGTGTTTCCAATGCTGCCACCATCGAGTGGGGTGGGGGCCATTGCCTGAGCAGACCGCACACTGGGTGGTGGAACATACACCGTTTGACATGTTATATAGATATTGTAACATACACCGTTTGACATGTTATATAGATTGTAACATACACCGTTTGACATGTTATATAGATATTGTAACATGCAGCGGGCTTAGTCAGAATGTCATGTCAAGGGGATGGGAGCAGAAGTCCTCATCACACAAGCCAGTGATGCAGACAGTTGTCCCTCCTGTCCTAATAGGATACCAGCTGCTGTTAATAATTAATTATGTAGACTAAACCATACCTTGTGATGTGTGCAAGTGCAGCATTTGGGCCTTATTCACTTGCCGCGCCACGTTTCACGGCTGTTGCTATTTCATGCAGACGTGGGCACCACATCTCCTCCTGACGCCGCAGCAGCGCCCGCCACGTTGCGGGGCTGCTGGAGCGCGGGCGCGGCGAGGACGCGGCGCACGACGCGGCCACCGAAGGCGTGGACGAGGATCCAGGGGTGGGAGAGCAGCTTGGCGGCGGACGGGCGTCGGCGCGGGTCGCGGTGCAGCATGCAGCGGAGCAGCCCCTTGGCCTCCGCCGACACCCCCGCCCACGCGCCGCTCGTCAGGTCCAGCGGCGCCTCCAGCACGGCGCGGAACACGCCGTTGTCGTCCGCGCCCCAAAACGGCGGGCTGCCGCTCAGCAGCACGTACAGCACCACGCCCAGCGACCACACGTCCGCCTCCGCCCCGTACTCGCCGCTCAGCACCTCCGGCGCCATGTAGAACGGCGATCCCGCTGCGCCGTAGGCTCTCTCGCCCTGCTTGAGTCCGATTGCGAGGCCGAAATCGGCCAGTTTCGCGCAGGTTACGTCTGTCCCCGATAGGTTCTGTTTCGACAAGAGAATGTTCTCTGGTTTGAGGTCGCGATGCATGACGCCTTTGGAATGGCAGAATGCAACGGCGCTGACGATTTGGCGAAAGATAAGAGCAGCTTCTTTTTCTGGTAGCCTGCCGCGTCGCACAACTTCGTCGAAGAGTTCGCCACCGTCGCACAGGTCCATGACGAGGTGAACGTGTCGCTCGTCTTCGAACACCGCGCGCAATTGAACCACGCCCGCATGCCCCGCCACGCTCCGCATCGCCGCCACCTCGTGCCGCACCTCATCTCGCATACGTTCGTCCATTAGCTGGTCTTTGCTTATCGATTTTACCGCGAAAGGTTCGCCTGTCGCACGGTCCCTGCATTGTCGCACGACGCCGAATTCACCTGACCCGAGCAATTGTGCCTCTGCGGCGAAGTAGTTCTCGAATCGGGCCGTCGACACGCCGAATATTGACGGGCAAGAACCGGCGTCGGTTGCATCCGACGACGAATCCGCTGCATTTTGGAGCTCTAACCGCCGTTGATGCTTCGCGCTCTGGGAGTCTGCCGACGGCGAGTCCGCCGCGTCTGCCTTGCGCTTCTTGGGCACCTCTAGAGTGCGCGTTCGCCTGTGCTCTAACGTTGCCGTCGTCGCCTGTGGGAGTGGTGAGACGCTCGAGCCTGACTGCGCCATTGAGCCTGACTTCACGGGCGAAACTTCTCGTCAAATGTGAGTCGTGTGCCTGTGTTCTGTGCGTTGCAGAAGACCTATCAAGAAAACGCGGAAATTGCTTCTATATTAGAATGGGGCACGTAGCAGACTTCGGAGCTAAAAAAGGCGGTGGCAGTAGGCAGCGGCGGGAAGGTTGGGGGTGGTGGACTGAAAGCGGCGACCACGCAACGCACAGCTGGTGTAACGCGTTTGCTCCAATTGACTTTACCCCACGCAGGGGCTGCAACTCGAGTCGCGTGTCGCACGGGTAGCGTCGATCCACCTGAGCCGAAGAGAGCATGTTGCGTGTGGGTGTTACTCCCCTGGCTTGTTTGAGTTCTGATTCTCATCCGCGTTGCTTTCCATGTCACGCGCGGGCTGTTCTGCTGGTGAGTAGTGACAAGTGTACAGCTGTAGGTGCGGAGTGAGGAAACCGTGCTTGGGAACTGGTGAGTGGTGCTTTGCACTCGAATTCCCGAATTTGCCCGAAATGCACCGAACGTACCGATATAAACAAACTCGTGCTCTATGAAGTGAACCGCTCTGCAGCAGAAAGTCAGACTGCTGTGATGTGAGGCGTGGGCGTCCACGTGATGTGCACATTACATTAGGCGCAATCAGAGCCACAAACGAGTGTCAAATGATGGCGGTTCCTAGGAATCAAGGCATCCCTGCTTTGATGTCGCGCTTGCTGAATGCTCGCAGTTACGTGGGTTCTGTACCAAGGAAAGTTGTAAGTGGCGTGAAAGCTTCAAGTTCCAATATACAGTCAAGATCAAGGTCTAGGTGTCCCCTCGCAAATGGTGGAGAGCCAGTAAAAGAAAAATAAACAAGGTTTTTAACATTTTCAGAGCACCGCACGAAGAAATGCTTCACTCATGATATTCACGTGAAGGCAAACGAGAATGCTTGAGGCACGTGAATTGACTTCCATCGCAGGCGCGACACGGTTTCCCCCAGCTGCCAAAGACTCTAGGAAAACCTGCACACAAACGACCCCAACAAGAGCGGAAGGCGTCGGTCTCGGCCGATGACAGAAATCCTCTATAGCAAATAAGCTGAAGTTCTAAATGGTGTTTTCAAACACTGCCATCGAATGTGTAATTTTATCATGATGTTATCGCGCAAAAGTCAATACCGTAGGTAATCCCTTGTATTTAAACCTTCAAAACCCCCTATTCAGAAATTAGAGCTGTATTAAGGTAATAGTATCCTGACCAATCTAGCATATTATCGTTCTCTCAGAATCATTGTCGATTTCATTTCCGCAAACTAGATTCAAGGGCCTCTGCAAATATATTTCTGTTATGTCCTGCCAGGAATCAGTTTTGTGATGTGTCATGCATTTTTTTCATTCTCAAATCCAATCTCTCTAGCTTACAGTTTGAACATATAGCTTAGTGTACACTAGGAAGACCACTGCCAGTGAGCAGAGCTTCTGGCGGCAAGCCCATTCAGCGAAGCAGGGAATTCGAATCCCTGAATGACGGCGGATGGTCAAGCCCAGCCTGATCAGTCAGTCCTTCCTGCTCCTGCACTTATCTCTGCGGTGCCTGTGCTTGCATTGCGTCCTCTTGCCTCCTTCACTCTTCTGTGAAGGTGTTGATTTTCCCCTTTCAACGTCATCCTAACTGCCGCCGTTGTATTTTCGTATGAGATCGGAGACGGCTGGTGGTCAACAATGCCATTAGAAGCATTTTGATGATGGAAGTGCTTTTTCTTAGCCCGGGGGACTCTAGAATCGTCACCAATTTTAGTGAAGGAAAGTCAGGCTCACCCCGCGTCTAGGGCTCAAGGAAAGTCCGCCTAATTTTTGCGACTCGGTCGCAACCGTCAGCACTGAATTCGGCGATTTACTGAACCTAGTTCTTGGCTGCATTGGCTCCCATGGCGACGAATCTCGTGAAAGGTGGCCGCGCAGCCTTAAGAACGAGCTCGGTTTTCGTTTTTACATGCCTTGTAGCAACGCTCGTGCCGGCATGTTCGTCGATCGGTCCCAACCCTAGCATCTCGTCTCTTTCCGCGTCTCGCGGCATCGCCTCACCATCGCATGCGGCGCCCAAGGCGGGTCCGCAAATCAGCAGCCTGTTGCTGCTCCTGCCGCCCCGCGCTCGCAACCCCGTCCGATTCCATCTCCTCGGATCCAACGGCTGCTTCTCCTGGTAGGAAACGCGCAAGTTAATCGTCTAATCTGGTCCGTTCGGTCTGATGATCCATGCTTCCGTTTCGCCGCCATTGTCAATCCGTAGCGGTCTCCGGCAATTGTAGCCGAGCGTACTTCGCCGTCAACCCCGCTGGTGCTGGTCCCCTCTCCTACTCTTCTCTTCCCCCCCTGGTACCATGTGCGTGGGTGGCGTGCAGGGCATGGGACCATCACGACCTGCTGCACGTGCAGCCTCTCTTCAACACCACCGATGACGCTGATGCGCCCGCAGCAGAAGCAGCAGGAGCGGCAGGAGGGCAAGCGTGGGGGTCCCATGGCAGCAGCGGCAGCGGCAGTGGCAGTGAGGCGCGCGGGGGGTGTTCGACGAGCGCGCTGATCTCGTCCATCGCGCCGTACTCGGGCGCGCCGCGCACCACGGCCGTCATCGCCACGGACCTGCTCTCTGGCGCCGTGCTGCGCTGCGAGGTGCGCCCTGCGCCTTTGGTCGGGTGGGTGGGTGGGTGGGTGGGTGGGTGCGTGGGTGGGCGGGTGGGTGGGTGGGTGCGTGGGTGGGCGGGTGGGTGGGTGGGTGGGTGGTATGAGGCAGTGTGCGGGTGATGGTGGCGTGCGTGTGAGTGCCGCTGACGCTCACCAGCAGTGACTGCAGCCGCTGCAGCCTCTGATACTTGCAGTGTCGCCGTGGGCATGAAGCACTGCCAAGCATGTGTGGGGTGGCAGTGGTCACGCAGGTGGATCACGAGCACTTGACGCCTCCACAAGGTGCTGCCTGCGCCATAGTGGACCCACAGAGCAGCCCGCTTCTCCCACTCAACCCCTCTTCCCTTTCCCCTGCTTCCCCGTCTCCCCTGCTTCCCAGTCTCCCCTGCTTCCCCGTCTCCCCTGCTTCCCCGTCTCCCCTGCTTCCCCGTCTCCCCTGCTTCCCCGTCTCCCCTGCTTCCCCGTCTCCCCTGCTTCCCCTCCCTGCTTCTCCCCTGCTTCCCCGTCTCCCCTGCTTCCCCGTCTCCCCTGCTTCCCCGTCTCCCCTGCTTCCCCGTCTCCCCTGCTTCCCCGTCTCCCCTGCTTCCCCGTCTCCCCTGCTTCCCCGTCTCCCCTGCTTCCCCGTCTCCCCTGCTTCCCCGTCTCCCCTGCTTCCCCGTCTCCCCTGCTTCCCCGTCTCCCCTGCTTCCCCGTCTCCCCTGCTTCCCCGCCTCCCCTGCTTCCCCACCTCCCCTGCTTCCCCGCCTCCCCTGCTTCCCCGCCTCCCCTGCTTCCCCGCCTCCCCTGCTTCCCCTCGCCCTCGCCCTTCGCCCCGCGCTCTTCGCCCCGTGCCCCTCGCCCGTTGCCCCCTCACCTCTGGCCCCTCGCCCTCGTCCCTGGCCCCTGGTCCCTTCTCCCCTGACGTCCCCCCCCACCCCCGTGGAGCATGGCAGGTGCGGGTGGACGTGGTGCAGAGGGTGGTCATATTCCACCGCAGTCTCAAGATGGGCCTCTCCTCACTCGCGGATCTCGAGGTGCTCGCCTTCAACGACCACGGTGAGGGGCCTGCGCCATGGGGGGTGGACAGTGCACCGTGTGTGGGGTGCTGTGGGGTGTACGGTGTGTCCGTGTGTGTCCCAGCAAGAGTCTCGCGCTTCGCTATTAGCCTGTCGTTTTACCTCCTCTCTGCCTGTCCAGGTGTTCCCCTGTGTCCCCCCTTCCTCCCCCCCCCACATCAGGAGACGTGTTCTCATCAGTGGCGGGGCTGGCCTTCCGCTGGACCCTCACACCCCTCGGCTCGCCCCTGCCCGCCCACCGCCGCCCTGACGCCTCCACTGCACCACGTGGCGAGCAGGCATTGGAGCACCGCCTACAGCACGTGCCCCTGGAGGAGGCGGCGCTGCTACTGGCGGGCGGCGAGGAGGGACGTGGCGCTGCCAGGGACGACCTGGGGGTGGGTGGATGGGTGCTGGGTTGGGGGAACGAGGAGTGGGGACAACAGGTTTTGTTAGGGTGGGTGCTGTGGGGTCGGTGCGAGGAGCAAAGGCAGGAGAGTATGGGGAGGGAGGGCTTTCAACGAGGGTCGGACGCAGCAGGGAGGTAGCATGAGGAGGAAAGCGTCAGCAGTGCAGTGGTGTACTCGTGTGCCTCTCATCTTCATATCACTCACCTCCTATCCTCTGCCCATGTCTCTTTCTATTGACCACCCAAGCAGGTGGAGCGGTCAGACGTGTACGTGGTGAGGGGCGTGGCACCGGGGCAGGAGAGGGTCGCTGTACAGCTCATGGACGCTGATGTCACTGCAGCCGCAGCAGCAGGAGCAGCAGGGGGTGCGGCAGCGCTCCCATCGGACGCCATAACGCTGACGGTGGCGCAGGCCTTCTCCCTGCAGCCGCCCTCCCCCGTGCTGCTGCTGCCCGGCGCCCGCCTGCCCTTCCGCCTCCTCACCTTCACCCACAATGCTCTGCACCGTAGGTTGACCGCACCTGCCTACTCCTCACCCTCCTTCCTACTCCTCACCCTCCTTCCTACTCCTCACCCTCCTTCCTACTCCTCACCCTCCTTCCTACTCCTCACCCTCCTTCCTACTCCTGACCCTCCTTCGACCTCTCCCTCACCAACCCCCCCTTCCCCCACCCCCTCCCTCCTCCCCTCACGCTCCCCTCCCTCCTCGCCCACCCTCATCTCCCTTGTCGCCCACCCTCCTCTCCCCCACCGAGCACCTGCCACTTCCACTTCGCTTCAGTCACCCACCTTTCCCACTTCTCCCATTTCAACCCCCATCCAACAATGTCTCCCGTTTCCCTTCTCTCCCCCCCCCCAGCCGTGCAACTGCCCTCCCCCAGCTACACGTGGGCAACAGGCAACACGTCAGTGGCATCAGTGCACCCCGCCCAGGGCGTGCTGTCCGCGCTCGCCCAGGGCGCCACCACACTCACCGCCACTGACGTGCGCTTGGTATACCACCACCAGGCTGCATCCATCCATGTCGTGCCACCTGGCGATGTCAAGATCTTCCTCGCCTGGCGCCTCTCCCAGGGGGTGGGGTGGGCGGCGAGGGGGAGGTGTGTTCCGGTGCAGGTGCAGCTGGGGGAGGGAGTCTGCCGGGGGCTGTAGCGTGCAGGGCTGTGGCGGACCCTGTGGCCAGTGGGGGGGACACGTGGCATCTCGTGGTTGGGCGGGAGTACGCCCTGTGGGTGCAAGTGTTTTCTCATGGCTGGCCCAGCCGGCCCGTGCTGCTCACAGAGGCGGACACGCTGCTACTGCGCTTTGACCACCCACCACTCTGGACTGTCGTGGGGGATGCTGCGACTGCCTCTGTGCCTGCACAGGCGCCTGGTGCTGTGGAGGGGGGAGGGGGTGGTGGGGAGGAGAGGAGTCGCGTGGTTGTGGTGCGAGGGGAGCAGCAGGGGCAGGGCGAGGTGCAGGCTGAGCTGCGGTACCAAGAGGTGAAGAGCGGTGGGAAAGGGCGGGAGGAGAAGGTGGTGGCGGCGCAGGCGATTCGTGTGTGTGACCCCGTGCTGGTGCACCTGCCCTCCCCCACGCCCGCTCCCTCTGCCTCTTCTGCCTCTACTTCCTCTGCCTCTTCTTCTTCTTCTCCCCCCGTGGACCCGGTGCACGTGGTGCACCTGCCGTGGCTGCCGCAGCTTGACTCGGCGCCGCCACCCCTGCGGCAGCACCTGCTGCTGCTGGCGTCAGGAGGTGAGTGCTGGAGCCATGCAGTGTGAGAATGCATGGCTGGGAAGAACAAGAGACAGGTGCGATAGCGGCAAGAGCAGTAGTCAGGTGAAGTTGCATGCATTGAGGGGCAACGCCATCAGTACAGCAGCGTCTCTTACTTTCTGGATTTTCCAAAGGCTGTTCCGAAAAGGCGTACCATCTCACATGATTGCTGCTTCTGATTCGCATTCCATCACAACCCATTGCATTTAAATCCTGGAATCCCACACCACCAGGGTGTGGCGAGCGTGCTGCTGACTATGTGTGGACCAGCTCTGACTCCAACGTCATCCACGTGGCGCTCTCTGGTTGGCTGACAGTGGCCGGGCCGGGAGTTGCGATGGTGCGGGTGGCAGCAGCAGTGGACGGCAACAACTACCACCAGGTGAAGGGGGGTGATAGAGCCCAGCCCAGGGAGGGAGGGGGGTGGGAACGAGGATAGGAGGCATGAGGGTGGTGGGAAAGTGGAGGAGGAAGAGAGGATATTTCAGAGAAGTGTACTGCTATCCTCTCTAAGTCGTGCTGAGCTCAACCCACCATGCTATCATCCATCGTTCGAGTTTGAGAATGCACATGTGCCCACTCACTCACCACGCCACATGTCAGCATACACGCTCGCCCATCCCCACCCATACACACCTGCCCCGTACCTGCCACTGCCGCGGGCGGGGGCATGGAGCAGGTGGAGGTGCGTGTGAGTGAGCCACGTGTCATGCAGGCAGTGGGCGAGGAGGAGGACAGCGCCCTGCAGCTGAACGTGCGTGTTGAGGCGCTTGTGGGCCACTCCCTGCTGCTCGCTGCTCGCCTCCTCTCCTCCTCAGGTCCGCTCATGTGCTCACCGCTTTCTCACGCCCTCCTCGCATGCGTGCCTGCCCCTCCCTAATTGATTCCGTGCTTTCCACCTGGCTGCCCTTGTTGATCTTCTTCACTCTCTTCAGCCCGCTCATTTACTCTCCACTCCTCCCTTCTTCTCGCCCTCAGGAGAGCCGTACACCAACTGCACCGCCCTGAACCCATTCGTGCGGTGGCATCTGCAAGCGCTACTCCCTGCCATCCGTCCGTCCTTCACCCTCACTACTCCACCCCCAATCGCTATGCCACCATCCTCTCTCTCGTCCATCTGCGTGTGGACCTCCCTCTCCGCCATCGCACCTGGTCGCACACAAGCAACAGCCCTCCTGCCACTGCCGCCGCACACAAAATCTGCTGATGCTGACGCCCCTGACAGTGCAGAAGAGAAGGCAGTGGGGGCCGCAGAAGGTTCGAGTGAGGGCGTGCAGGGGGAGTGGGCGGTGGCGGGGTATGAGGCGATGCGAGTGGTGCAGGCAGGGGATGGGTGGCGCCAGGGCGGCTATGGGCTGCCCTCCTCTCTTGCTGCCACTGCTGCACCCGCTGTGCCCGTAAGGCAAGGAGACTTGCTTGGTGCAGCAGCAGTAGGTGCGGATGCCCTACCATCAGCAGCAGCGCCAGCAGCAGCAGCAGTGCTGGCCATCGGGGAAGGGCTGTCAGTGCCGGCTCTCCTGCTGGCGCCAGGGGCGTCCATGACCCTCGCCCTCTCAGGCGGTCCTGACAGGTGGATCCCAGGCAGGCAGTTCCTGGAGCAGGTGCATGTGGCGGGTGTAGGGGGGAAGAAAGGGCTTGTGGTGGGAGGAGAGGCGGAGGAAAAAGGAGGGGAGGGGCGGAGGGAGGGCGAGAAGGGAGGGGCATTGGAGGTGGAGCAGGTGGGGGGGCGGGGTGGCAGGGGGTACGTGGTGCGGTGTGCTGGTGACGTGGCGTCCAACGACAGCTACGTGAGTGCCAGTATCTCGTGCTCCCTGCACGTGCTTTCTCTGCTCTGCCCGCCTTCCCCTATGCACCCATGTTTCCCACACTCCTACCAATCACCTCCGGCCCCTGCAGCCACCTGTAGTACCACCCATCCTCTTCCTTGTTTTTCCCTTCCTCCCTCTCCCCTCCCCCCCCAACCATCTCCAGCTGGTGACCTTCACAAGAGGCCACCAGCCATCCTCCCACGCCTCGCCGGCGACCCTCCCCTCAACGTCCATCCTGCTGCACTGCGCGCTGCCTGCTGCTGCCGCCATCCTGCTCGATGACTCTGGTGCGTCACTGCGCTGCTCTGCCCTGCCCTCCCCTGTTCAGTCTCCCATGCGCCCTGCCTCTCTGCTATTCTCATCTCAGCATCCCCTCACTGACTGTGCTTTTCTCTCCATACACACTCGTTTCTCTCTGACCTCCCTTCCTCTCACCCCCTACTGTGCTTCCGCCCTCCTTTCCCTTTTTCCCCATTTTTCTCCGTTGCAGCTCGATTCCCTGCAGCCATAGCAGCATCAGCAGCCTCATGCCATCCACCAACGGGAGAATGCCACGTGACACACCCTTGTGACACATCAGCACGTGCGGCTGGTCGCTGCAGCACTCTCCTCCTCCATTGCACCCTTTGCCAACGCGTCCAGCCAGTGGCTACATGCCACGTGGCAGCTGGAGGGGTGTGATGACATGGCATGGTGGGGTGCGGACGAGCCGAGCAGTGGGGGGGTTGGTTCAGGGGAGGAGTGGAGCACATGGGTGAACACAGGCGACAATGGAGGCCAGGTGAGGGTGCTTCGTGGGAGGGAGGGGGCTGTGGGCACTGAGCTTGCATGAGATGGGTTGGTGGTCTGGGTTGCTGCTGCGGCTGCCATGGATGGGTGAGTCACCTTGGCGTCCGCTCTGTCGGATCTGACACCAGCGTATCTGCGTCTTAATGCTGTGCCCTGCCCCTCCCAGTGTCACGTGCATGTGGATGTGACAGCACTATACGCCAAGGGGGGCTGGCTGCACGTCAAGCCAGAGGGGCAGGGCGCCCACAGGGACGCCTTCCATCTGCGCGCCTCTGCCCTCCTGCAGGTGCCCTCCCCTCCCTGCTGCTCACATGCTCTCCCTGCTCACTGCACCTGTGCCTTGCTGCTCGCCTGCCCTTGCTTTTGCTTTCTCCTAATTGCTACCGCTGCTTGCTGCTCCAACTCTCGTGGTGTTTGCTCGGTCGCTCATGCGTGTAGTCTCCGAATGCAGGCACCACTGACTCAACCCCTCTCTCATTCCCCTGCAATGCCCCCCTGTGTGCTGCATGCAGGTGGTGAAGGCGCTCAGGTTGGAACCCCAGGCGGTGCTGCTCGTCAACCACCCCCAGGCCCATGTAAGTGCCCTTCTCTTGCCTCTGTGCATGCACTCTGCATGCTCACATAGACCCTTATATACTGTTTCTAGCAGTGCTGTTTTGCTCGTGCATGCATTCCCCCTCACACCTCCCAAAACATCATATATTCCAACGCCCATTCATGACATCCCATTGCTTCTTCCGCTCACGTCCCCCAGGCGGATCTGACAGTAACAGGGGGCACCTCTGAGCTCCAGTTTTTCATCTCCGACCAATCAGTGGCTGCCATTTTGCCACGTGGCACTGCAGCAGCAGTCCAGCTGGCAGCGCGTGCACGAGGCGATGCCACGTTCACAGCAGTGGACGCTGGCATCTCCCATCCGCTCTCTGCCAACGCCTCGGTATGTCCGCAGCCATCCTACCACCTCGGTACCCCCCCATCTCGCTGTCTCACCGCAGCCATAGTGGTTTTCCCTTTCGTCTATGTGTTCCTGAACCAGCCCTTTCTCGTATCATTTGCGTTCTCTGCCTGCCCCCACACCCTCGTGTCTCACGCTGCTTCGCTCGCCCACTTCACCACCGCATGCCCCTATCGGTCAATCAGGTGTCAGTGGCTGACGTGGCATGGGTGCGCCTGCACCCCGAGGGCGCACAGCCGTCCACGCCAGCAGGGGCGGGCGAGTGGTGGGTACAGGTGGGCGCCACGGCGCGTATCACTGTGGCAGTGGGGGACGACCGTGGCCGCCTCTTCCCCGCCTCACAGGTGTGCCCACCTCCCTCCACACTTCATGAAGCTGCCTTGCCCTTACCACACGTCATCCTGCACACTCTCTGCTCCCAGCTCCCAACTGTGTCCCCTTACTGATATGCTCTCACCTGTTCACTTGTCCCCCCCCTTCCCACCCCCCCCCTTCCCTCCACTTCAACCACCCCCCTGCAGTTCGAGTGGATGAGCATGGAGGCGCACGGCATGGCGGGCGTGGTCGCCCTGCACCTGCCCTGCTCGCGCGCTCCCAGTGCTGGGGATGACGTGGCATGCTCTGATTCGCTGGAGCTCACAGGGACGGCTGTGGGAGTCACCACTGCCTTCCAGGTCCTCGTTGCCTTCCCTCCTTCTCAACCCCTGTTTCCACTCCACTGTTTCCACTGTCCCTCCCCCCCCACCCCCACCGTGTCTTCTCTATCCACGCACCCCGCGCCTCCTCTCCCCCCTTACCCTCCAAAGCGAAGCGACCACTGTCATGGACTTTTCTGTTTACTGTGTATCTTCTTTCTTAATCGTAACGCCCACAATTAATCTCCCATCTCTCCCATCACCTCTCAATCCCCCCTATGCGTGCCACTCTCCCCTCCCCCCCCTATCCCCTGCCCCATCCCCCTTCGCCCTGTCCCCCCATTCACCTATGGGCGAGCAGGTGAGCGCAGGCATCCACCTGTCAACTCGGAGGGTGTTTTCAGATGCCGTGCGCATCACAGTGTATGCTCCGCTCGCCCTGCACCCGCCCTCGCTCACCCTCGCCCCGGGAGCATCATACATGGTGCGCGCTCCTGCCTCGCCCTCCCTGCTCCTCCCTCCCCATCCTTAATCCCTTTTTCCATACCCTACTTGCCTCCATTTGTCTGCCTGAGTAATCATGCATACGTAGTGGATCAATGTCTACTTCTATCTTCTGTGCTACATTCTCCCCTTCACCTCTCTCTAATACCCCACTGCCTCCCATCCTCCCCTGCTCTCCTGTCCCCCTGCCACGTCATCAGCTGCAAGCCACGGGTGGTCCGTCTTCCCCAACCACGACGATCGCGTTCGCCTCCTCCAACACTGACGTTTCGCACGTTGATTCGTCGTCCGGCCTCGTCACGTCCCGAGCGCCTGGCACAGTTGTCATCCGAGCCATGGCGCTAGGCTCGGCAGGGCAGGTGTTGAGCGTTGCTGAGTCTCGGGTGGAGGTTCGGGTGATGGAGGCGGTGGGTCTGAGTGTGGGCAACGGGCAGCTGGCAGTGGGCGAGGAGATGGCAGTGTTCCCCACTGGGGGGCATGAGGTGAGACATCGACATCTGAATTTCTGCCTTCCCACCCCTCTTCCTTTTCTCCCTCTTCACCTCTTCTATCCCTTCTCCTCAACATCTTTCTCCTCTTCTTTCCCCCCCTCGCTCCCGCCCTTCCCCCCCCCACTATCAGGGTGAGGATCTGCTCTCGTTCTCACGCGTGTGCCACGGCTACCAGTGGAGCGCCAGCCACAACCAGGTGAGCCCACCACGCCATGTCACACAGATGAGCCTTGTGCTTGTGTTGCCCTCACTTGCATCCACCTCGCCTATTCCTTATCTCTCAACTGGCAGGGTTTGTTCCTTCACTCCCACACTCCACTCCTCATCCCCGTCCACACCCCTTTCCCAACACAGCTGCTGCACCTACAAACAGCGCCATCGCTCGACGCACAGGTGCCTGCCAGCACCACAGGGGCGGCCAGCAGCAGCAACCGCGGGAGTGACAGTGCCACAGACAGTGGCAGTGCAGCGGTAGACATTGGCTTCTCAGCGCGCATCACTGCCAGGTCAGCTCAGCTGCAAGGCAAGCCAGAGAAGAGCGTCTCTGCTTGCTGCTGCTCCGTTCTTTTCCGCGCGTCCCCTATCTTCCATGCCATGCTCTTTCTTCTTTCTCCCAATCCCACCTCCCTGCCTTTTTTCTCCCATCGTCTCGACCACCTCCTACCCCTCAGGGCGCCCGGCACAGCCACAGTGTCTCTCACCTTCGTCTGCTCCTTCCCCACCTCCTCCAAGCCCTCAGCAGCCCCTCTCCGCCGCTCCTACTCCGCTTCTGCCTCCATCTCCGTCGTCCCCACGCCCCCTCTCGTGCTTGGCATCCCTGCCACGTGGCTGCTGCCCATTGACTACACCTCCTCCCCTCTGCTCCCGCCCTCTCTTGCTTCCACCACCTCGGGAGGTGCGGCGAATGCTGCAGCTGCACGCTACTCCTACTCCCTGTTACAGGACCAGGTAACTTCCCTGCAATCCCGCGCCTCCTGCTCTCCCCTTTCCTCTCCTCGCTCCCCTTCCTCTTTCACCACACTGAACCGTTCTTAACACCCTCTCACTCCCTTACAACACGCCCGTCAACCCCCAGTCACCCCTGGGCAGTGGGCACGTGTCACTGGCAGCAGGCGGGCGAATAGCAACGGGGGAGCGAGCAGCGCTGGGATGCATTGCAGTGGCCGACTCTGCCAGCGGCCGCCACGACATCGCTGCTTGCCTGCGCAGCGCCCAGGTGAGGTTTCTGCTGCGTCCAGGTGGAATGGAGGCCTGGCATTGGTGTCACCATTCCTGTAGCGTGTGCTCACTATATGAAGTTCTCTTCGCAGCTGTGTGTGTCACTCTGCTGTGGACAAGTGACAGCAGTTGTGAGTCACCTTTACTGCCTCCTTGCTCTCTCTCGCCTTCCAATCGCATTTTCGACTCCCATCTCCTGCTTCTCCACCCTCTCTTTTTCGTCCCTCCGCACCATTCACCCCATTCCCTCCCTCCCCTCCCCCCACGCCACCTCCAACCCCTGTGCCCCATGGCAGGCAGCGCAGTTGACAGTGGGAGACAACGACTTCCCCTTCCATGCAGCCGAGCTCTCTGTGCCCGCCCAGCAGCTCTTCTCCGTTCACCTCCGAGACAGTCTCGGTAAGAAACAGGCTTGGTAAGAAACAGGCTTGGTAAGATGCAAGCACTGTGGAAGCCCGATTGATCATAAGGAAGGTTACAGGCTTGCTGGCCTGGGGGTTTAGCCAGTCGGTGCTGCAAGTCGGCGCGCGAGTGGAACAAGGTGTGTGTGTGGCGCGCGTGGACCAAGTCGCGCTCGTGGACCAAGGCGCTGCCAGTCGGCACTGCGAATCGGCACTGCGAGTCGGCACTGCCAGACCGCACCCTCCAACAGCCAAAGAGTGCGCTCACCGCTTGGGGGCGAGCTCCGTAACACGTGCTAACAGGTGTTTATGGTACCGTACTTGCGACAGCCGATTCCAGTCCGGAAACACGTTACTTCACCACCCCCACACCCCATACTACTGTATTCTCGCCATGGCACCCCCGACAGAGATCATAACAGCTCACGGCAACAATTGATTACCATTCTGAAATTTCAGGGCACTCACGATGCACTATCCTGAATCTACAGGGTGAAATGTAATCGAATCCTGAAATTTCAGGGCACAGCAACTCCCTGAAAATCAGGGATCAGGTTGTTTTATCCTGATATCGTAGGGCCTGCTCCCCTTGCCCGGTTTGCACTGTCTGCAGGAGTTCCCTTCCTGGAAGCTTCTGATGTGCAGGTGGAGGTGGACGTGGACAGGCCTGACGTGGTGTCAGTGGCGGTGGTGCTCAGCCTACCAGGGCCTGACACGTGGCAGCCAGCCAACATGACTGTGGTGGTGAAGGTGCGTGTGTGTGCGTTTGGGGGGGGGGGGAGACTGAGCTGCATGGAAGCGGAGAAACGAGGCACAGAGGTGCACCCGGTGCAGAGCATCTCTCTTCATGGCCGTCTCTCACTCACCACCAACCCTGCTTTCTGTGCGGCCCTCATTTCCCTCTCATTCCTCCTCACCCCCCTCATCCCTCTCCCCGTCTCTTCCCCATCCGACCGCCCTTCTCCCCCTCCAGGCGGTGCAGCAGGGCACAGCTGTGATGCGCGTGAGGGTGCAGCCAGGGGCAGGGCGAGGGACACGTGGCAACCTGCCATTGGTGGACTTCATCACTGTGAGTAGGGAGTGGGCATGGGATAAGAAGCTGGTGCAGCCTCTCAGGCACTGTGTTACTCACTCACCCTCGTTCTGAACCACTCACTCACTCGCTAGCTCTTCCCAACATGCGCTCCCACCAGGTGCAAGTGGGGGCGTATGTGTTCCCTCGGGATCCCTTCGTCCCTTTGGGTGCCTCGCTCCACTTCTCCCTCTCACACCGCCACCACCAGCAAGGTACGTGCTAGGTGGACTGCCATCTGTCAGTTGCCATTCCATACCAGCCATGTCATGCTGTGCCATGCCATGCCATGCCATGCCATGCCATGCCATGCCATGTGCAGCAATGTAGAGTCAACCTGTTGTGTGATTCCCGTCTCTTCCCCTCCTCCGTTCCTCGCGGCCTACCCTCTTCCAGCCATGGGCGGCAGCAGGGGCGGCAGGTGGGAGAGTGGCAACAGCAGTGTGGTGGCAGTGGATGGCAGCACGGGGGTGGCACGGGCCGTGGGGGAGGGCACCACTGTCGGTCAGTTGCTCCTCCGCACCCGCCTTTTGCACCCCCCTCACTCGCCCTTTTCCCATCACTCATTTACTCTCTGTTACTCCTTGCCCGCCGCCTCTTCTTTGCGCCTGCTGGGTACTTAGTTGCCAGCCATGTCAGCACACGACTTTAAAAACGTTTGAAAAGTTCTTTCACTGTTTCTCTAACAATCTCCTTTCTTATTGCCAGCCTTGTTTCTTCACATTCTTGCTCTCCTCTTTCCGACAAGCTCCCCTCCTCCCTGTTCCCCATATCCTCGCTCGCCCCACCCTCCTCTTCTCCCAGTGAGCTTCAACGCGTCCCGCCTGACGTCATACACGAGGGTCACAGTGCTACCAGTGGCGTCGCTGCTTGTCTCCCCGCCGCCCTCCACGCCTCTCCTCTCCAACAAGCCTCCCCTCACTGCGGCCGCCCGCCCCTTCCACTTCCCAGTCCAGTTCAGGTGAGGTGCTCTGCGGTGCTGTGCTGTGCTGTGCTGTGCTGGGCTGTGCAATGCTTTGTGGTGTGGTGTGTGGCGGTGCAGGGTGCCAATATTCATGATTGTTCTCATTTGACTCCCCTTTCTGAGCCCGCCAGTTCTTGGCCACTCTGTGTCATTTCCCCCTTCCCAGTTCACACTCCCTCTATGCTCCCACGCGCCCATGCCTCTCGCCCATGCTTCTCACTCGCAGGGACTCTCAAGGCCAGCCCATGGGACGACCCGTGGGGTCCCCAGACGTGCCCTTCTCATGCCACGTGGCGCCCAGCATGCTCGGGTGAGTGGCGCCTAGCATGCTCGGGTGAGTAGCACCTACCATACTCGGGTGAGTGGTGCCTAGCATGCTTGGGTGAGTGACAACACAGGTGTGCTCAACCACACTTCCTTCACCCTCTGCACTGCTCTCTCCCTCCACAGTACCTCCACTCCGCCACAATCACTCCAAATGCCGTCGTATCTGCCATTCTCCTCCTTCGCCTCCGCTCTCCCACTATGCTCCACACCACAGTGATCTCATGCCCTCACGTTCCCCTCCCCTACCCAACTCCCCCTTCCCTCCTTCCCCCTCTCCCGCTTCGCCCTCCCCCCATGCCCTGCAGCACGGCTGTGCCTCGCTTTGACACCGCCTCAAGCTCCTACGTCTGCTCCTTCACCCCCGCCTCTCCCGCCCGCATCTTCTCCTCTCTCACTCAATCCTCCTCCTCCTCGTCACCAGCACCACCACCAGCAGCAGCAGGGGGGGCGAAGTTGGGAGGAGTGGACAGGGGAGGGGCGGGCAGTGAGGGAGGTGGAGTGGTGGTGGTGGTGGTGGCAGTGGTGGAGGCAGGGGCAGCGCAGGGTGCTCGCCCGGCTGTGAGAGGAGAGGCTGCAGTGCCGTTTGTTGGGGGCTTTGATGTGCTGGGTGGAGGCGAGGTGAGGCCAGTCACACTGATGGTGCATGGCACATCACGATGCTCCATATGCTCCCTATGCCACATGGGACCGATCGAACGATCTCTGCCGTTTGCATTCAAAGTTAACGCGTCGAACTCCCCCCCTGTTGTTTGCCTTTCCCACTTGTTTCTTCTCAGCTCTTCCTCTCTCCACCTGACGGTCTTTGCATGTGTGTGCATGTGTGTGCATGTGTGTGCATGTGTGTGCATGTGTGTGCATGTGTGTGCATGTGTGTGCATGTGTGTGCATGTGTGTGCATGTGCGTGCATGTGTGTGCATGTGTGTGCATGTGCGTGCATGTGTGTGCATGTGCGTGAGTGTGTGTGCAGATCTCTCTGTCTCTCGCCGCAAACACCACCACCATTCGCCTCGTTGGAAACACAAGTGAGTGCAGGACACTGGTGCTGACTCTATTGGAATAGCTTCGAGCAACTGCCTTGCAATCAAGGTGCTCATCATTCTCAAAAGTACCTGTGTGCAGCACATGTGTCAGATTGAGGGCATTTGGTGCGCCCATCAGAACACCTCTTGCACCAACAACGATCAAGCTGCACGTCTGCATTGTGCTCACATCCCCTCTCGTTTGTTATCTTGTCACTCCCATTTTATCTTGTCACTCCCATTCTATCCTCTCCTTCACTGCAGGCTCGGTGCAAGTGGCGTGGAGCCAAAGAGCCTCACTGGTGGTTCGGAGGATAGGCTCGGGGTCAGGGCAGGGTGTGAAGGGCGGCAGGCAGAGCACTCGTGCTGCCAGTGCGCTCCGCAGCACCTCACCTGCCCCAGAAGGGCTTGCAGCCTTGGCAGATGAGACAGTCTTTGCCGTCCAGGTAGGCTTGGTGTGAAGGATAGAGTATGAGCCGTTTGCTTGTGTGACTCAGGCACGCCACACTCCCCTGCACCTGGGTTGCTTGTTTCTTTCCTAGTTTTCTCAGCCATTCTTGTTTTCTCAGCCTAGCTGTCTCCTTAGTATCCTTGTCTGCGTCCCAACTCTCTCCTCCTTTCTCTCGCCTCTCTGCTCTCTGCTCTCTGCTCTCGCTCCAGGTTGTGCTAGGGGACCATTCTGACCACTCGCGTGCATCTTTCAAAGATGACATTGTCTTCACTCATCTAGGCACAGGTATTTCACCTGCAGTGCTGTCAGTCGCCGCACAGCACCAGCCAACTCACCAACACTAAAACTTGCCAACATCTTTCTCCCCACTGCATGCCATTCACTGCATGCCATTCACTGCATGCCATTCACTGCATGCCATTCACTGCATGCCACACACTGCATGTCATCCAACCGTCGTCACCGTCACTCCCACCCCTCCACATCCCACCACAGGCCAAAGGGAGACGGTACACGTGACCTTCAATGCAGCCGCTGCACCCTCCACCCTCGTTCCCCTCAACCTGCTGTGGCTCGCTGCACTCACCGCCCTGGTCGCCTCGGCCGTTCTCCTCCTCCTGCACCTAGTCAGCCCCGCCCAACCCTACATCCCGCACCCACAGCCCCCACCCTCGCCTCTCCCCACGCCGTCCCCTCAGCGCCCTGGGTCTGCTTTCCACACGCCTGGGTCCAGTGCTTTCTCCCCAGTGTCCCCTTACAGCCAGATGGGGTCGCCAAGTCCCGAGTATGTGAACTATGCAGGCCGCACCATCCACAGGGCTCCAGGGTACACTAACCCTATGGAGGACCCTCGTAGCATGTACTGATTCTGTGTGACTGCGTGTGGGTGTACCTATTTGCGTTTGGTTGGATTGGAAGTTGGAGATATGGCACCATATGTGTGCTTTCATACGCGTACATGCACGGCAATTGCTGACACATGGAGCAGTTTGAAGGAAAGAAATTGGAACAACTGAACATAAGGCAGAGCTCATCAGCCAAGGTGTACTGTTCTTGGTGTTTCTAGCTGTCCATTGTCAATTGTCACAATTGAGCTGCACAAGTTGGCGGCCAAAGCCAAGTGTTGCTGGTGTCCTGTTGAGTTTTCAACCGAGTCCGCCCATATGCTGCCCGTCGATTTTCTCTTCAAACAAGTGGCTGTTGGAAAAAAAGTACAGATGTTCTCGTTTATAGTCCGACGGAATGAGACGCCGCGTGAAGACTATGTACGAAAAACTTCAAACCCCGGGCAAAGCGCGATACTTATGGTCCCGTTCAAGAAATTTGCATAAAGAGTGGTTTGTTTGCTACTGTTTTTTTGGTTTTTGTCTTTTACGTAGATTCGGACCACGCTTGCTTCAACTTCTCGTTGCACGGTTCCCCACGCTGATCAATGTCCGCATGACTAACGGGCAAAAAAAAAAACAAATTCATTTATGGTTTGGGAGTCAACTAGAAGGTAAAAACTTCAATTTTACCCTGTAAACGAGATAAATGAGATATCGTCGTCGAGCGCGCTGGAGACCGCGCGAGAGGATTAAAAAGTAATCACGGTCAGGAGAAACAATTACTTACAATTCAAAAGTTAAATATCGAATCTTATGATCCCTTATTTATCGTTCTCCCTGAATGTTGGGCTGGTTCGATCTGGATCCTCTGATTGGCTGCGGAGCTGATTCGTGCAATGATTCGGTCAAGCTGCAAAATTTCCCGCCAAAAAAGGGACTATAGGGGTAGGGCCAAACCTAGGCGATATCGGAAAACTCTACTCAAGGGGGAAAATAGACTCTTTTAGCGAGAGCCTCTAACCCAGAACACTTGTACAACAGGTTTGCCGGATAAATGACGAGTCGTGGGCTGATAGCCAATAAGAGACAAATATGGCAGTCAGCCAGCCAGTTACAGAAGCCACAGTGGATCGACAACGATATTTGTGGCCTCGCTACATCTGCCTCAAGTCATGACTCATCCTAAGTCCCTTGAAGAGGCAGGGTTTTGGTTGCCCATGGCAGTTGGATTCGTCCAAGTCGAAACGTCGGAGGCCGGCTGTCTATCAAAACGAAATGTTATTCCCATCGAACTAGGGAATCTAACGATACGGACATGAACCGTTCGATGAAAGTTGAGAACGAGCTTCGATGGTCAGATTATTGCGTAACCGTGCTTCAAGGAGGAAAACCCTCGCTTCCACTTCAGATCAGATGAGGTAAGAAATATCTATCCATCTGCTTGGCTCTGAACTGGATTGACGACGAACCACACACACTACTGTTTGGTCAATCTGGTTTCTGAGCCAAACTTGGCAACAAGATATTGGCTGGTACCAATCATGCTCGATTTCCCTATCTTCTGCGAAAGAAAACAATTCCAATTCGTAAAAATATAATCCTACTGCACTATAGATGATTTAAAACTATTCCAATTCCCAAAACACCTGAACCTTGGTTTCGTATGACATCGAAGCCCTGATTCACCGCGTTGCGCGAAGATTCATGATTGTCCCTGCGCTACAAGTAGCGAAGTCCCCTGCTTGTGTGTTTGCTCATTTGCCTCACTTCCCCCTCCCCACCCAGCCTTTATCCCCATACAACCGAAAGATAGTTTCCATTTCTGAAAAGTTGACCCTGTTGGTTGCTGAAAGATATCTCGTCACCCCATGGCTCGGTCAGGATCCGACGACTCTCCACGTGAAGCAGCGCCTGAGATTCGAAGGATTCAGTTGCTCGACGGCTCTAAGAAACGAAAGATCGAGTCCGCGCTCGTTGAGTCCGAATCGCGTTCCCTGAAGCAGATGAGATTTACCCAATTTGACTCTTTTACTCCGTCCACCTCCTGCCCAATCTTCGACTTCCACACGGGCAAGCTCGAAAATTCTTTCACATTGGAGTCAGCGACGCTTGGCGCGGGGCAGTTCGGCGTTGTGAGGCGCTGCGTCGAGAATGCAACAAATCAGGCCTTCGTGTGCAAAACGATCAATAAAGACCGCTTGTTGACGTCAGCGGCGAGGGACGAGGTGCGGCGCGAGGTGGCGGCGATGCGGAGCGTGGCGGGGCATGCGGACGTGGTTCAACTGCGGGCGGTGTTCGAAGACGAGCGACAGGTTCACCTCGTCATGGACCTGTGCGACGGTGGCGAACTCTTCGACGAAGTCGTGCGACGCGGGCGGTTACCCGAAAGAGATGCAGCGCTCATCTTTCGCAAAATAGCCTCCGCCGTCGCGTTCTGTCACTCTAAGAACATAATGCACCGCGATTTAAAGCCCGAAAACATCCTCCTCGCATCCCAACACTCCTCACAAGTCCCCACCGCGAAGCTCGCCGATTTTGGATTCGCAATTCACATTCCCCCTGGACATCGCGCGTGTGGCGTCGCCGGGTCGCCATTCTACATGGCGCCAGAAGTACTGACAGGGGAGTACGGGTTGGAGGCGGACGTGTGGTCGCTGGGCGTGGTGCTGTACGTGCTGCTGAGCGGCAGCCCGCCGTTTTGGGGCGCGGACGACAACGGCGTGTTCCGCGCCGTGCTGGAGGTGCCGCTGGACCTGACGAGCGGCGCGTGGGTGGGGGTGTCGGCGGAGGCCAAGGGGCTGCTCCGCTGCATGCTGCACCGCGACCCGCGCCGACGGCCCTCCGCCGCCAAGCTGCTCTCCCACCCCTGGATCCTCGTCCACGCCTTCGGCGGCCGCGTCGTGCGCCGCGTGATCGCCGCGCCCGCGCTCCTGCAGATCCGCATGGCGGGACGCGCTGCTGCTGTTCCTCTCTCCGCCTAGCGACACGGCTTTGCGATTTTTTTGGCGAATGCGCCATTGCCATTTTGGGGGAAATGTCACCACGACTGGAGCACAGGGGGGATGCCAACCCAAGCGTTTTGATGTTACAGGGTTACATACACGAAGAGCTTAGAGCCTCGCAAGTGCACCTCAGCTGCTACTTCTGCAGCCTGGACGCTTGGCTTGGCATGCTGCCTGTTAGGTTGTGAATCATGCATTTTTCATCAACATTGTTGATGCTTGTAATGAGTTGTTGTAAAGCGCAAAGCCTATCTCTCCATTTATATTCCACAAACGAGGTAGAGCGCTGCAATGTTAGAACCAGTTGGATTTTTGGAAGTCACGGAAGCCCCGGAGGTAGTTTTCCATTGACTCTCTTGTTCTCTTCCAATGCACCTCCTGTATCACATCGTCTGCACTGCGCTTCCTCTCCTGGGGGGCAAAGAACCATAGGGCATGGGCAGATGGTTTAAGGTTCAAAATGGAATTTTGGTTAGGCAGTGTGAGTCAGTTACTGAGGGATGAGACAGAGAGGGACGAGAAGAGCAACAGCACTGTGACAGTGAGGAGCTATACCATTGGGGAATTGCCAGATCAACCTGCATTACCTCTTCTCATCCCAACCTGCCTCGTCCCTCACTCACATGGTCCTCTCACCTTGGGAATGATTCTGAAGGTGTTGCCGTCGTCCCTGACAATCAGAGTCTCGTTTCTGCGGTCTCGCGGCTGGTCCTCCGGCACATCCAGCTGCCACAAGGAGGAACAAGGAGTGGATGGGTGCTGGGTGTGAAAACGAGAATCATGATGACGATAATCATCAGTATCATCAGTATAAGCAGCAGCAGCAGCAGCAGCAGCAGCAGCAGCAGCAGCAGCAGCAGCAGCAGCAGAGCAGAGCAGAGCAGCCGTGAAAAATAGACGATAGTGGGATGTTGGAGCACATAGGCACATGGGAGGATGGAGGCGGTGAGGCCATACGATGACATTGGCGCGGCGCAGTGTCTTGTCATGGCCGTCAAAGACATACACCTCCTCAAAGTCCAACATGAACTCGCGCGTGCCGTAGGGCACGTCGTTCAGGTGCCGGATGAAAAACACCTGATGGGGCAGCGGGACAGGGAGCAGATGCATTGCGAGTGAGAGACAAGTTGATGTGTATGGAGCGTGTTCAGCAAACGAGAGATGGAATAAGCGTCAGAATGGGGCATATGATTCTTGAAACACAAAAGAGGATCGCAGCAATCCAGTGCACAAGTTAGAGAGCCCATGAGCACTGTGTGCCCGCATGGCCACTCGTCCGCAAACTCACCTTGGTGACCTCCTCGATCTCCTTGGCGCTGGGCTTGTACGGGTCCGTGGAGTGCGCCAGAATCTTCCCCGCTATATACGTCCACCGCCCCACCTGACACCGGATTGGCTGATGCGGACACGTAGGGCGGTGGGGCAGCGGAGCAGGGGAAGAAGGGGTCGTGGGAGATGTGAGCACGAAGCACATAACGGCTGGTGCAGAGGCTATGAAGGGAGAGGGAAGGTAGCAGTCAGTGCAGGGAGTCAGCGTGTGGTGCAGTGGTGCATGCAAGGCAGTCTCATCGCACGCATGGTACTAGAGGCCATGCGAGCCACTAGCAACGTGCTCGGTGGCGCTGCCTGTGCCCGGGTACCTGTGAGGGCAGTGGCGCGAGCTTGCTGGGAATGGAGTAGACGTCACTGCCGGGCGGAGCGAAATACACCTGGGCGGGCGTGGCACAGCGCAGAACGAGTGGGGGAGCGGGAGGAGAAGGGGAGGAGGGAGGGTGCAGGGCAAGATGGGTACAAAGGTGAATGCAGGGAATGAGGGCCGTGGAGGCCAGACAAGCGCCAGAGCGGGGACAGACAAAGGGGGCACAAGAATGAAGACACCAAGCAGCACATATTTTACGCTTGATTGATCAACCTGCCTCCACCGTCTCACTGCATTCCCCATCTAAAACCCCTCCAACCCCTCTGCCAAACCCTGTCCCCCCAACCTTGTCCTGCCCCAGTATCCCCCAGCCCTGCACCCAACCTGTACCCGCCGCACCTCGGAGAAATCAAACACGTCGGTGTCGCCGCCGTCGCCCCCTCGTCGCACGAAGAGGTCGCAGGCGGCCATGGCGATGCAGTGGAACGCCGCCTCCTCGATCTTGTACTCCACGCGCACCACCGCGCCCGCCCCCTCCCGCTCCGCCACCGCCAACCCTCCGCCCGCGCGCGCAAGCGCCGCGTCTCCCGCCAGACCCATTGATGTGTCGAGACCGTAAGCGGAGGGATCGTCTAGCATGAAGAGATCATCTCGGCCGTCCATTTCGACCTCTAGTTCGGCGTCCAGATCGAGATCCTCCGCGTCGAACTCCATCCCCTCGTCGTCGTCGTCGCCATCGAAGTCGCCCGCTCGCACGACGACTAGCCTCCGTCGTCTACGGGTCGCACAGACTGGGTGCAATGGAAGGTTTGAGCGCGAGCGACTCCGTTGTGAATGGGCAGAGGAGGCTAGGCTGAGAGGCAGAGACGAAGCACGAAGGGTTGGTGTAGGCCGCCGCAGGTCCCGCCATGCGACATTTGGCGAATGAAACAGCGAGTTTGGGCTGCACCCGCAACGTACGGCGGCTGAGCACGTTGACATTGCCATGCCTGTCAACGCCGTCACGACGCTTCGTGACTAGATGCTATCGCGAGGATAGGTTGCGTTGGTGTTTCCGGTGTAGTGACTACGAACTACGAGGCTAGGACGACGCACCTAGAGACGAAGCGTTATTATGCTGGCTCGGAAAATAAACCGTGATGTTGCTCAAGGAATGCACAGAACAGACAGGTGATGCTGTGTGCTGCTGAACAACCATCGTTCAATGAGGACACTCGATAGATATGACAGTCATATCGTGCCTGGTGAGATAAGATACATACACAATTTTCGTATGATGTTGAGTTGTAAATCAAGCCACCTCATCATAGAACTTCAAAATGGGTTAGGACCTACAAGCAATGGCTATTTGACTATGTGCTAGCACATAGCAAACCTTGGGTCTAATATATGCAAGCGTGGCAAACATAAACCACAGCTCTCTTAGCCTTCACTCAGCTCGAAATAAGGTGATCTCCTGCTGCTTGAAGTATCGGCGATCCTCCTCGTCCACAAGCACCAAGTTAAGAAAGTACTTGACTGAAAATTTATTGTTGATATTGCGGTAGGTGGGTGTTATATCATATGGGCTGAGGAAGAGCCGGATGGGTATACACTCGCCTGTATACAGAGCGAAAACATTCAAGGGAAGAGGGAGGGAGAAGGGGGGAGTGTGAAGTTGAATGGGCCAGTTGGAAACGAAGTGCAAAATGGGTGTCTGAGAGAAGCTGGGGAAGATTACAATCTCAAGAAGAGGTGTCCGGTCACAAGCACTGATAAAATTCAGAAGCAAATACAAGAACAATCAGGACGGACTCACCTCTTACTGGAGCTCCATCCATGACTTCATACTTGGCAAGCGTCTCGCTCTCATTGTAAGTATTCGGCCCTGAACCCGTTGATTCACGTCGCCTTATCTCCAGCTCCATGTGCTTTATCTTGATTCTAACCAGTAAGAAGTAGATTTTCCCTATTACTACATCCTTCAGGTGATACCTGGCAAGTACCACACACGGAAATCGCAAGTCAGACGGCATGAACTGACAGGTTAACACCTGAAACAACGGACCCCCAAACAACAATTGCAACAGCTTACTTCGATTTGTTGTACTCGAACTCGATATGTAAACAGTCCTCAATGCCAACCTCCATCTGCACCAAGACGAAGCAGGGGCTTCTAAGACCTCAGGCTGAGTCGAGAGGGCCGCAACCCTAAGCACTGAAGCCCATACCCACCTTGATTGTGTTGTTGATTTCCGGCTCTTTCAAGATATTCCGTACCTGCAGAGATTGCCATTAGCAGAAAGAAGTCACACCAAGCCCTTTGTAGGTGTGACAGAGAAGGAAAGACGAATCTGCCTGTATATTACATACCCAAAAGTCCTTCTCCTTGACAATGTTGGACGAATAATTTCGACTGACAGTCACTCTCAAAATGTACCTGAGCAATATGGAACACTTAGTGGCATAAATCGAACGTGTCGGGGAGATTCACTGAGTGACCACAAGCATTTCAGGGTACGTACCTCAGTCTAACGTTGACACCGTTGTACGACTCATACTGCATCTCCACGTTTTGAAACTCAAAAGGGTATATCTTCCTCTGGGATATCTCGCCAGGAATGTCGAGCTCTCTCACTGCAACGACCACGCTCCAGCAAAATCGTGTCAGCGTGCTATGGGAGACGACCATATCCGTATTTTAACTTCCCCAAATGGTACTCACCGAGAGATGTAAAATCGTAGAAGTTTCCGCGATCAAAGAAAAGCTCTGAGAAAGTACAAGTGAACCAAAAAAACAATTCTGTAAAATAGCAAAAAGGGGACAAACAGTTTCCACCGAAGCTAAACGGACACAGCACTGACCGATTTGGCCGATCAGCTCGATCTTGACTCCGGTGTGTTCGATTTTTTTCCCCGGCAAAGGCTCTATCCTCACCTGTCACATTACCCGAGTATCAGTTAGACATGTATGCCTAGTATCAGCACCTACCAGCCAAAAACGTAAAGATTCTACCTCTCCCGCGACCGTGTCTTGGCCATGAAACAAGGGCACTAACTCTGTTTGGCCACTCTCCCGCTTAACGGATGCCTGCAGATACCCACACATTAATAACGTTCAAACGTCGGATCTGAGCTCCAATAAAGAAATCAGGGCAAGACTAATCGGCTGGAACCACCTACTTGTTTTCGCGTCTCTGCGTCTTCGAAATTTATAGCGATTGAGCACGGTGGACCAAGGCCGAAGAGGCCAGACTGCAGTAGTATGCTCTGCGCGACCAAGGAACTGAGTCAGCACGTCGAAGTGACGCAAACACGTAAGAACTTGACGAAAGTCACGAACCATTTATAGTACTCTGTTGAAGAACCGCAGTCTAAATCGCTGTGCGTGACACTTCAGTACAGCTGTTCGCTGCGGTTCGGAGTACAGAACGCTAATAGATCGACGTAGCTAACTAGGCGATGGACTGAGAAAAAAGGGCAGGAAGTCGAGGCAACGGGCATCAAAAGCAAACTTCCAGGTCCTGGAATCGCACAAGCACATGTAGTTGACTATGGTAAACCTACATAGTCTGACGATTAGGCTGTTCATGCAAAGCAAGTCAGCTGGGATGCATTGAAGGCATGAGCGAAAAAAAATGAATATTCGGGTTTTGGGCAACAGTTGAACTGAAGTTTACGATACTCTCAGCCCATTCTGTAATATAGATCTGTAGCGACCATGCAGTAGCGCGGATATACATTCATGGTACATCCATTTTTACTAAATGGTTGTACCCTTACGATCTTGTGCAGGGTTGAACAAAGACCCTGTAACGCGTCAGTCCACACTATTTTTTCGGGTTTCCTGTTCCGTTCCTTCCACTAAGTCGCACGAGCTTGCTTTGAGTGAACCAAACAGGCCTCAACACGCCACACTAGGCTCCGCATGCATGCCATTAGGCCCTCGCTGCCTGGAGGACATAAGCGCCCAGTGAATCTGTTTGGATGGAAGTGGTATGCGAAATTATCTGCAGTTTGCTTCTTGACCGGCGCTGCCATGGAGGCTTTCATGATCAAGACTGGTTTTTGTGCGTTTATCTCCGCCCCGCAGATTCCGGCCAGTTAAAAACCACGATATACTTAATTTTTGCGTTCTCGTTTTTGCAGATGATAAGGTGACCGCGATAGAGGCGCAGCGGCGGATAGAATTGCGAGAGCGCAGCATGGTAATGCCTTGGCATTTTTCCCGTCGTGCTGGATTAATACACTGTGGAAGGCTACTGAATTATGTTTGGGCCGATGCAGGATCAACCTAAGCACTGGAGTCAGTCCTTGTGGCCTTCGGACGAGCAATCTAGCTCTAAGTAATATGATCTTAGAGGTACGGTAAATGCTGCATATTTCAAATTTCCTGTAAGCAGCGGGTGCAGTTAAGATGGTGAACAAGACGTGCGTCCTACCACCAACGTTTCTGCCATCACTCAATCCAAAGGGACCTTTGAGCTAGGCAGAAGACCAGCTCATCCTGCCTGTGCAGTGCTTGTAATTACTGCTCATCACACCACTGTTTCTCAGCACGTGAGCGTGAGTTGCACTTGTTCAGTGCAGCGTGGTCATAGCGTTGTTCAGTGCAACGTGGTCATAGCGTATGCTCTTATTCACTCATCCCTCATCTGTCTTTCAGTTGTTTCTGCAGTTTTGGTCCAATGGGCAACAGGGTACGAAGGTGCGTCAGCAAATTCAAGATGGTTTAGTTGCAATTCATGCAAACGGCTGTCAGAGCAAGCTTATCTAAGGATTTTGCTGCCACCCATGTCACAGCAGGCTGATGAGGTAGATTAAATATTTGCTAAGGATAGAGAGTACAGAGAACATAACCACTCGATTTTTCGCATGTTTATGTAGATAGGGCCCACCTGCACTTCAGCTTGGGGTGGAAAGTGGACTACCGGTTACCTGTTGTGCATATGTACCGTAGTACCGTAAGCTGCTGCAAAGTTGCAAACTAGCAATAGCAGCTGTCAAGATGTAGCGAACAATCAGAACTATCACTTGATAACGAGACTACGCATCGTGGTTTAGCGAAAATTCAAATCATTCATCCGCACGGCACGCTTGGCATGGTGACGAATGGTCGCCATCGAGGCACGTGGCAGGCCATAGATTGTTGTTTCCTTTGATGGGTGGTGCAGCAAACGTCAAGCAACTTGTACGACATCTCGGAAATATCTTATCAGATATTTCTCCACGCGCCGAGCTTTTGGCTCTACCTTACGGGCACACTCGGAAGGGGTTCTTGTTCGCCTCTAGACGATGTGTTTGGAACCTTTCATCAGTCTCCTCAGCAAAGGAAGGAATGCTACAGCTGGTTTTGAAGATTATGCAAATACATGAAAGGTCAACTTATTTTGATGTTAAATTGACAGCTCTGCTCCTACTATAGCCCGCAATATGACCGATTCAGAGGAACACGAAACCAGAAAAACAAGTTACATATTTTAGGCAACGCTACGAGACAAGATCAGGCTGACGTCCGCTCCACCCCGCATCTCTTCCTTCCTCTTTTCCCTGTGCTGCCTGCGAAATGTTCCGTTTTCGCGCGAATCCTGCGCCAAATTGCGCGACTTGCTCTCTCAACAGCTGTTTTCTACCTCCTCCCAATTCCTGACTGCGATTTCCTCCCCTCTCGATCAGCACAGCATGAAGTTGTAATGCTGCCGCTCGTTGAATGCTGCTGTTCTGCCTCTCGTGAACATATGTTTTTTTCGCCGTCACTCTCAACCACCATGTCGATGTTCCACGTGAAATTGACGCCATGCTCGATCAACTTGCCATCTCACGGAATCTTTTTCTCGCATCTCGTTCAACTTCCTCAGGGCCTGAGCTTGAGTACGCTCAACAAATGTCTGCGTCACGTGCCTTTTCTGTAAAGACATCCAGCGCAAAGCATAAAGCACGCAAGGAAAGATCTAGGCTGATACATTTTCCTTCTTCGCCTTGCTGATATTTTTTCAGATCTCTAGCTTCTCAAGTCCGATAGTACGAATCCTCGTTGTCTCGAGCGCATCCAGTTACATTCAGCCTCCCATATCTCCAGAGCAAGGATCACTCTCTGTGTCTTTCTAGTTTTCTCTTTCTTGAGTTTCGCGCTCACAAATTTTCAAATAGCGCGTCGAGCGTGTTGATTCTCGTTGATCGGTTTATCGTCATAGCTACTAGCGGTATGGCGGCTCATGGCACGCGGGACAGGGACCTGATGGGGTGCGGCGATCGTGACGAGTCGATTGCAGCGATCGAACGGTCGATAGAGCAGCAAGTGCAACAGATCATGGCGCATAAGTAAGCCATCGTAGCGCACAAACGGCTCGTACTACATTCAGTCGAGAATTTGCCAAATTTACAATTTCGAGCAGTCGGACGCAATTTGACCAGCATCGCTTCGAAACATACTAGTAATTACGTTCTCGTCCATGCCCATGTCTCGCAGGATGCTCATGGCGACCACCGGCTCGGGAGACTCCAGTTCCGTGGACCCACCGCGCTGGCTCCCCGCCGCCCATGCCGACTCCGCTGCTCTAACGCCCGCACATTCGGCGCGTGGCTCCCAGCCGGCGCAGCTGTCAAGCGCGCCTGTCGTCGCCGCGTGTCACGGTGGAGGCGCGACGCGCTTATTCCACCCATGGATGCCACGAGACGCCGCACATTATGGCGTGCAATTCGGCATCCGCGAACCGATGGTCGTCTGGTCTCCCTACAGCGCGCAGCTTTACATGCAACCTCCCGCTCCTTCAGCTTTTGCGCCGAACTTCCCCGGGATGTCCGCTCCTCCTCCGCTCCCCCCCCCTCTTCGGCCCTGTCCCCCGCCTGTTCCGCAGCACTCCCCGCCGGTGTCGCAGTGGTCCGCGGGCCCCTCTACAATTTCCGCCAAGTCCGTGAGGGTCCCCGCGGAACACACGGGCTCATGGCTGGACACGCGGCTCGTCCCGATCGACCACTGGGATGTCGGCGTGAATTGCGGAGAGAGAGCCACGGTGGCACCGAGCGTGGTGATTCCAGCTCGTTGCGCGCCGACGGAGCTGGTGAATTCGACCTTGGCTCCTTCCGCCTCTAGCGCGGTGAGGCGCGGAATGGGGACGTGCGCGGAGGATGAAGGAGGCCCTCGCAACCCGCAGGAGGGCGCGAATGACGCGGACCTATCGACGCGCTGCACGTCGACATGGGAAGCGGTGGCGGAGAGGATGAGCGCGCCGCCGGCGCAAGGGATGACGCAAGGGGTGGCGGAGGGAGGTCTGTTGGGGGAAGGCGACGACATCAGTGCGTGGCTGAGCCGCCTTGTGGGTGGCACGGCTGGCCCCAGCCTGCCGGATGCACCGATGGCGGAGCTCACGCAATTGCAAGGAAACGAGGCGACGCGGGGCCACGTGATGATGATGCCAGGTAGAGTCGCGTCATGCGGCAGCAGCGGCACCGCAGCAAGTGCAGGGCGCGGCACCACGTACAACGTGCTATTCAACAACCCCGTGCATGCTGTGCCTGCGCCTGCGCCTGCATCAACATCAGCGCACGGCCCCCCCGCTGCACGCCGCCATCCCGCCCCTGCTCCTCCGCCTCCCCTCGCGCACGCGCCTTCCAGCTTGCTTGCGGTGCAGGCTGGTCGGATGGGGGTAACTGCAGGCAGCACGGTGGCAGGGGGGGGTGGAATGGAGCAATGGGGAGGAGGGGAGCAGAGAGGGGAGTGGGGGAGGCGGGGGATGGGAGGAGAGGAGAGTTATGAGGAAGGGGGGGTGGAGGAGGAGGCATGCATGGAGGGCATGACAGTGGAGCAGATTCTGCAGGAGAGGAGAAAGCGCAGGTGAGACACTTAACATGCTGTCAAATACAGCAGTTAAGGGCCTCCCCTACTGTAGTCCGCACATTGGCATCGTATCTCTGCCATTGGTTGCAGAGTTTGAATGTGGCTCTGAATAATTCTCTTTGCTGCTGTGCAGGATGGTCTCTAACCGCTTGTCGGCCAAGAGAAGCCGGCAGCGCCGCCAGCAGCTGCTATCGCATCTTGAATCCGATGTACGAGGAAGGTGGTTGCTTGTGCCTTGCCATGCTCTTACGGTAGTTGTGCTTCTCATGCATCTGATTGTGAGCACACACCACAGTAAGCATGCTTCACTCACTATCCCTCTTCCATTGTTTTTATCCTACGCAGGCATCCAAGCTCAAGACGGAGAGGGAGCAGTTGAGGTCCAAGCTTGCACATGCCGCGAACAGACTCACACAACTGCAGGAGCAGCAGAAGAAGCTGGAGCACGAGAGGGATGTGATAAAAGCGGAGATAGAGGCAGGCAGGAAGAAGATGAAATGCCAAGCAGAACAACGCACGCAAGAATTAGAAGCATTTGTTATGTAGAGGCATTTGTATTCCTTCTAGTATATTGGAAATGTAGGAGCAGAAAGCAATCGTAAGACTTATTGATATTTATTTGGCGTATCTATGTTGATAATGTAAAAGAAATCACTTTCAGCTCCAACATAAGAAATGCATATCAGTATTCTAACGCAATTTGTCTCAACTCCCCACCCACCCCAGTCCAGCCACAACGAAATCTCACGCAATTCGTCGCCTGCTCACTAATAACGCGAAGGTGGTTCTGTACAACGCGGAATTCCGCGCCTGCCGCCCTGTTTCCGCGTGCGTTTCGCCGCCATGGACGTCACAGAGGCCGACGAGCGGCTGCTAGAGGACGAGCTCGAGGCGCAGTTGGCCTCGCAGCGCGCCACGCTGGCGGAAGTGGACGCGCTGCTTCAGGCGGAACCCTCCCCGGAGATCGCGGAGGTGCGCGGAGAGCTCTCGGAGGCGGTGGCAGCGAGCGAGGCGAGTCTGCTGCAGCTGAAGCGGCAGCGGCTGATGCGCCACGCGGACAGACTGGCGGAGGGGCTTTCAGCGGAAGCGGCCGCTCGTGGCGGAACTGGAGAGGCTCGAGGGGCAGGAACGGCCAGCGCGGAGCAGACCGATATAGGCGGAACGAGCGGAGGGGAACGGCGCGCGGAAGACGGAGGAGGGGAAGAGCCAAAGAAGGGTGATGGGGAGGAGGGGAAAGGAGGGAAAGGGGGAGAGTGGGGGGTGAGTGTGGAACAGCGGTGCCTGTTCCGCCACGTGGATGGCAGGTGGTATGCGGGGGAGGTGCTAGCGCTCGAGGGAGGGGGGGACGATGGGGGGGACGGGGACAGCGGAGTGGAAAAGGTTGCTGGCAACCGGGGAGGGGAATGTGGGGGAGACATTGGGAGAGCGGAAGGGGAAGAGAGGGGGAGTGAGGGCGTGGGAGCAGGCGAGGGAGGTGCAGATGGGGAGGAAGGAGGGGAGGAGAGAGTGGGGTTGGGGTATGTCTCAGGGGCAGGCGAAGAGGGTCAAGGGAAACAGGCGGAGTGGGAGGGGAGAGGGGAGGAAGGGAGAGAGCGGGAAGGGCGGAGGAAAAGGGGGAGGAGCAGGCGGGGAGGGCGGCGACTGGCGCGGGTGGGGTTTCTGTACCCCACGACCCGCGCACACCAGGTACGTGCGCACACCAGGTACGTGCGCACACCAGGTACGTGCGCACACCAGGTACGTGCGCACACTCTCCTCCCCACCTCCCCCACCTGTGGCTGCTCCCATGTGTGCCGCCACACATGCTGTCACATGCAGGCATCATGGATCATTCAAGAACCATGCTTCCTCAATCCCCACCTCATTTTTCTCCGCACCCCACTCTCCTCCCCGCCTCTCCCCCCCCCGTACTCGTCCGTCCTGCCAGCTGTGTCGCTTCTTCCTCTCGCGCACCTGTCACTTCCACCATCGCTGCCGCAACTCCCACGGCCGCCTCCTCCCCCTCGCCTCCCTCCGCGCCCTCCCCCTTCCCCCCTGCCCGCTCTCCCTCCCCCCCGGCTCCTCGCTCCTCGCCGCGGCCCCTCCCGCCCCACTTGCCCATGCCCTCACCCGCCTCTGGGAGCAAGCAGAGCTCCAATCACATCACGCCACGTGTCCGGGAGCATCATCATCATCAGCAGCAGCACGGGCATCAGCAGCTGTCCACCTGCCCACGTGCGCCTGCACATGCACGGTCACTCTCGTGCGCGATGGCTCCTCCTCCTCTCTGCCCCTTTCCTGCCTCGTCCCTCTCTCCTTCCTCCACTCCCTCCCCCATGCCGCTGAGACCGCCACTCCCTTAGTCCCGGGTTCAGCGGAAGAACGGGCGATAGGGCTCCGTGGCTCTGCAAGTGAAAGCAGCAGTAGCAGCAGCAGCAGCAGCAGTGAGGAGAGTGGAGAGGGGTATGAATCCGATGACAAAAACGATGGCGCTGCTGGTGGTGGTGGCGATCCTCCCTCCTCCATGTCCCCCTTTGCAGCAGCAGCATCTCTCGCTGCCGCCCTGCAGCATGCGCACGCAGCAGCGGCAGCGGGCCCTCAGAGCGAGACAGTGGCGTTTGCAGCGTGGGAGCAGCACACACGCGGCGTGGCCTCGCGGCTCATGGCTCGCATGGGCTTCCAACGCGGTGCCGGGCTGGGCAGGGATGGTGGGGGCATCACCTCCCCTGTTGGGGTGCGGCCGGGGAAGGAGAGGCGAGGGGCGAAGGGTGGTGGCGTGGGTGGTGCTGGGCTGGGAGTGGAGGAGGAGGAGGGTAAGGGTGGGGCGAGGGATGGGAGTGCGGGTGGTGGGGAGGAAGGGGGGAAGAAGAGGAAGAAGAGTCGGGGAGGGGAGAGGGCGAGGAACCGGAAGAAGATAGCGGCTGAGAGAGAGGCTGCAGCAGCGGCGGCGGAGGAGGAGGGCGGGAGGAGGGGAGACGTGTTTGATTTTATCAACGTGCACTTGGGGGGCAGAGAGAAGGAAGCGGGTGATGAGGCCAGGATAGTGCATAGAGGAGGGAATGGGAGGAGGGAATCGGGGAGTGAGTCTGCCGGGGGCGGGGGGAGCCAGAGCGAGAGAATGGGAGGAGTGGGACGGGGAGGAGCTAGAGGGGCCAAGGCACCAGCAGCTGCCGGTGCTATGCTAGGGGCATGAGGGAAGGGGCGGGAGGAGGAGCGGCGGGAGCTGATGCAGCAGGAGGAGCGGGTGAGGGAGGTGCGGGCGCGGGTGGGGCGGTACGAGGAGATGGCAGGGCGCCACGCACACGACAAGGTGACACTGGCCGCCGTGCACCGCAAGCTGGCTGCAGCCCGGGAGGAGCTGAGGCGCGTGCAGGGGGGGCGGGACTCGGCGCACTCCAGTGCCGCCCAGAAGGAGGCCCTGCGGAAATGGACCAAGTTCTAGCACCGCTGAGATGGCAGTCTGGCAGATGTTTGTGTTGTCCCCCCCTCTTGTATTTCTGTCTGTTGTAGATATTGTCAACAAAACTTCCCATTAGCTGCTCAATAATCTTTTGCATATTGCTACACAAAACACAAGCGCGCCTAAACCACTGGCAACAATACACATCCCCAAGCCACAGAGAGTGCCATCCAGCGCGGGTCAGAGGAGCACGCGGCCAGTGAGGCGCGGGAAGGGGTCCTGCTTGCTGAGAACAACGACCTTGCTCTTGTGCGACAGGTACCCCTTCACGAACCCCAGCGCTATCAGTGTCGCCACCAGCCCCTCCAACTCGTCCACGTCCACTGCCACTCCCCGCCCCGCCAGCGCCCGCACCACCACCTCCAGCCGCACCTGGTGCGCTCGCGCTGGGTCCTTGGCTCTCTGCAGCACATGGCTGGGCAGGGGGAGGGCGGGGGAGAGGAGGGGGAGGGTGGGGCATGGCAGGGGCTAAGAGGTTGGTGCTGAGAGCCGCGAGGCCGTGATGAGAGTGGCGGTGAACGGCGGTGGTAGGCATGGCGGCAAGGGGAAACCTCATGCTAAGACAGGACATGGCTGGGATGACGGCATGCGAGTCATTACACCGTCCAGGTGGGGGGGTGTGATGGCAAGGCACCCGTGGCATGGCATGTGCGGCACGGCAATGACATCATGGCATGGCAAGTGTGTGATACATTTTTCTGATGAGGCGGCGGTACACATGCAGCTCGAGCTTCTCCAGCAGCAGATACACCCCCGCCCGTAGGAACCTGTGCCATGGCATGGATGGATGGAGAGAAGTCGGTGGTGGTGGGGGACAAATGCAGGTGAGAGGGAGGGAAAGGAGTGGTGGTTCATGTGGGTGCGAGCGATGGAGCGGCATGATGGGTGAAAGAGGATGCGAGGAGCAGGGGGACATGGCAAAGCAGGGAACAACAGTAAGCGTGGAGTGGGTCAGGCAGGGGCGTGGCCGAGGAGGTGGGAGGAATGATGCGAGGAGAAGGTGACGAGGATGGCAGTGCGTGCGTGTGCATGGCAGGGCAGGGCACGCACCTGTCCTCATTGGCACTGAGTGTGTCTCTCAGCAGTCGCACGTCGCCTGTTCGCATGGCCTGCACGATGCCCTCATACTGCTCCCATTCATGCCATGCCATGCCATGCCATGCCATGCCATGCCACGCCATGCCACGCCATGCCACGCCATGCCATGCCATGCAGCCATGAGGCAAGCGATACAAACTTGAGGGATGCACACGAATCCAAAGTGACACGACAGGGAACGTAAACAGGAGCATGCGGAGGACAAGCACAGGGGTGGGCGGAAGGTAGAGGAGGGCGAAACGAGCAGCAGCAGAGAGAGCAGAGCAGAGCAGATGGAGAAGCGAGGGAACAAGGTTCAAGGAGTAGCGGGCAGGGGAGGACCTCTTGCAGGTGGTGGTTGCGCAGCAGTTGAGGCGAGGGCAGGTGGCCCAGTGACAGGCGCACTGGAATGAGATAGCGCAGAATGCGCCTACATGAGGGGGGTGCAGAAAAGGGAGGGGTTTGGGGGGTAGGTGGGCAACAAGTGAAAGGAACATGAAGGGTCGAGGAACGAGTGGGTGATGGAGATGGCATGGGTAGAAGCAGAGCGATTGCGTGTGCAGATACAGGAGCGATGGGGGATGGTGGGGTGGTGAAGGGAGAAGCACGGACAGTGGAAGGGAGCAATGCGCAAAAGCAGTGAAGCGGGAGGAGGGAAGATGGAGGACGGAGGATTGAGAAGGGGTAACAAAGTGGAGGGAGGAGGAAAAAGGGGAGGGTGTGGTGCAGACCGTATGTTGAATGGTCTGGAGCGATGGCAGCGCCTCAAGGCAAAGCCAAGCTTCTCATCTGCCTGCGACCATATGGCACGGGTGGTGGGGGTGGATGGGCAGTTGGGACGGCATGGGTGGTGGGGATGGTATGGCGGTGGTAATGGCAGAGCATGTGCGTGCCTGGGCAGAGCCAGAGGAAGCATGGATGTAAGTGGTGGGAGAAACGTGGTGAGGTGGGGAGTGCTAGAGTGGCTTTATGGAGGCGCTGTGCAGGTGCGAGCACGTACGAGCAGGAAGGCATCATTGAACACGTCAAGGCGCCCTGTGTAGTACTTGTAGGTCACCTGCACGCACGCACGTGGGGAGCACGGCGCAGGTGGGAGTGCACGTGAGGAGTGCAGGGCCAGGGGCGAGAGCTGGCGCAAGGGTGAGAGTTGGGAGGACGTGAGCAACCAACCGGAAATGCAATAGGTTCCAAAAACTGATAGCTACTTTAATGCTCCACGTCTCACCTGCCCCTCACCTGCCCTCACTTGTCCTTACCTCCCCTCATCCGCTCACCTGGTCTCACCTGGTCTCACCTGGTCTCACCTGCGCTCACCTTCTCTCACCTGCACTCACCTTCTCTCACCTGGTCTCACCTTCTCTCACCTGCCCGCATCTGCTCACACCTGATCTCTGGCCGGGTAATCATCAAAGCCCTTGGAGGAGTCAATCACACGGATGATGCTCTTGCTCAGATTCAACGTCCCCAGCTGGTGCACACATGCATACGTGCACATGCACATTCACCAACACACCCGTGCACATGCACATGCACCAACACACCGGCGCACATGCACACGTGCACATGCGCGCACATACACGTGCCATGTGCGCGCATACACACAAATGCACACACACATGCACACACGCATGCACATTCACCCACACTCACTCACACCCATGCGCACACATTTAAAAACGCATGGCCACACATATGCACATGCACACAAAGAGAAGAGACATGTGTGGCACGGCGCACAGAGTAAGAGCGGGAGGAGTTGTACAGTGCATGCGAAATGGGGGACACAGGGAGTGAGGGGGAAGGAGAGAGAGGGATACCTTGAAGTAGATCTTGAAGAGTTGACACGCCACATAGAGCGACCCCACCTTCTTAGGGCCCTTGCCCTGCCGTGACAAGGAGGTGGGAGGAGGAAGCCGTGGGTAAGTAACGAAAAAGAAAGGAGATGCCTGGCTCTACAGTCTCTCTGCAATGCCCCTGCCCACCCTTTGGCGCCAGGCTGCTGAGCGGCTGACACGAAGCCGCACTGGCAGCAATGGTGCATCAGTCACCACTAGTGACTGCATGCAATGAGTGACTGCATGCAATGAGTGACTGCATGCAATGAGTGACTGCACACAAAAAGGTGACTCACGTGTGACGGCACTCATAGCAGGCGACTCACAGCGATGGCTCCAAAGACCTTCATGAGGAACAACGCTGCTGCCTTGAGCTTATCCGGTGACTTGCCCGCTGCCCTCTGCTCCATGTCCGCCTGCTCCCCTGCCATGCCATGCCATGCCACACCACACCAATGAACATGCGAAGGCAGGCAGAGTTACGCCAGCATGCCGTGAGAAGAAAAACGCATTGCTATAAGCGCTATTCCCCCATCACCCCCCCTCCTCCCCCTCGCCCCTATCAGTGTGCGCGCCAGACCTTCTCCGCCAGCACGCGCAGGTCGTGCACCACCGCGTGCAGCGGGGGCAGCGCCCACGTGCCCTCCCAGTTGCGCAGCACCGGTAGAAACAGACTGGCGCGCGCAGGGGGGGAGGAGGCACGGCGGGGAGACATGGCTATGAGACGAGCTCGGGGGGAGGCGGAGAGGAGAAGCGAGGAGCGCAGGACGCATTGCGCGAATGCTGCGGGCAGCCATGATTCAACAGTAGATGAGCAGGTGGGAGCATGCTGCCACTGGCGATGCATTACTTAGCGGCCTGCAGCATCTCCCCGAACGCGTCTGTGAATTGGTGCCGTTGGATTGCGGCCATGGCCTGCATCAACGGCAGCAGCATCTCGCCCAGCCGCTCCGGCACTCGGCTGAGCAAACGCGCCATATCCTGCGGAGGATGCGAGCGACAGGGGACCGCGCAAGGGGAGGTGCGAAGATTAGTCATGGCGGGTTTAGAAAAGTTGTTAAAAGCTGAATTTTCTCTGAGAGAACGAAGCTTCTTTGGCGCCTCGACGCGTACCCGCACGTGGTCGAGCCCACTGGCGACGGCTTCAGGGTAGCCTGGCCGAAACACCCTTAACAGCGCAGCTAGCGCCTCGCCGTCCTTAGCGTCTACCGCGCGGCTCACCGCCGCTACGTATTCCTGCACGCCGCGCGCAGCCATTGCACGTGGATGCGTACTACAATCGCCTACGCGCAGAGTTGATCCGTGCCTGAGAGAACGAGAGGAGTGCGCGGAACGCTTCGTTCATGGCATTCTGGAGCACAGATTGCGGTGTTATGAAATTTGTTCACAAAAAAATCAGCAATTGTCAATTCACAGTCAAGTTGGATGACTCTTCGAATAATCTGTACAGATGAACTGCATTTTTGTAAGTGCTTTAGCGGAGCCCGTAACAGCGGGGATGGAGTAATGAAACAAACCAGACAAGCATGGAGATCCCAATGCCTGTGTGGATGCCAATTTGAATGAGCAGCACTGAAGAGGCAATGCTCGTTGCCGCCAGTCTCGCTTCGCAGAACGCACCTCTCGTCCGCTTAGCCGGTGGAAGCTTGCGTCGAGTAGCACCCCATCGCTCTACGTTCGCGAATATCTCCCTTCACAAAACACGCGTCTTTCAATCGAAGGCGGGGGAGCCGTGGTTCAATTGGACCTTCGACCTTTTGCTCCTGATGGGTGAATATTCAACACCATCGTATGGAGACGCGCCTTACTGGGATGCACGATATGAGAAGGAGGGCCCTGAAAAGACGTTTGACTGGTACCAACAGTACACAGCGTTGGCTCCCATATTTGATATTTACATGGACAAAGCGTCCAAGGTGCTCATGGTGGGATGCGGCAATGCAGGTCAGTTCCCCTTCAGTTCCATATACATGCTCAGGATCGATCCGTGGTCTCGTGTAACCGACTCACGGAGATTGCACGGAACTTGTCGATTTTCTTGGTCGAGCAGTTCTCTCAGAGGATATGGTCCAGAATGGATACCAAGACATTTGGAACGTTGACATCTCCTCAGTGAGTTTCCTCAAGATGCCAGTCTTTCCTCCCTATCACGCCTTTGGAGGTAATTAAGGCTATCCCAACGCCGTATCTGGCATACGTCGATTGCAATTGTGCAGGTAGTGGTGGACTACATGAAGAAGAGGAACTCAACCATCCCACAACTAAAATGTCAGTTGATCAAGCACTCTGTTCTCTGGTACTATATACTCCATCAATTCCAGCTGTACTCTCCGTCTCTCTGTTCGGAAGATGATCCTGACAGGTCCCACTTGCTCCAGATGACACGATGAATGTCTGTTCTATGGGGTTTGACGAGTCTGCTTTTGATGTGGTTCTTGACAAAGGTAAGGCTGGAGCTTGAACTTTCAACGTTCTCCCCTTCTTAGTTTCCTCGTAGTGCGCCAGACCCTCTTGGTGGCTAACTGTTCCTTTGTCTTGCAGGGACACTGGATGCCATCCTGGTCAGCACCTTCCTTAACCCTCCTTTGTCATTTCAATTTCTTACCCAAGTCCTTATTTCTCGTTAACTGAGACTTTTCGCAGTGTGGTAACGATTCAGTGGAAAATGCATCTGCCATGCTAAGTGAAGTCTGCAGGTGCGCAGAAAGTGACATCAGAGCACAGTCTAGTGTTGAACTTCACAGTATGTCTGACAACATTGTGGCTTATTTTTTTGCAGAGTGTTGAAACACGGTGGCAAGTTTCTTCTGGTAAGGTGCTTATAATCTCTGAGGTATCAAGAATTCTCCTCTCATCTCATGTAAGTTTCATGTCCAATGCAGATTACATACGGTGATCCGCAAGTACGCATGTCACACCTGCAAGTCGACAGCCTGAAATGGACCGTCAAAGTTCATGCCTTGCGTAAGAGTGTTTCGCTATTTTGCTTTCAGCTGGCTACAAATAGTAGCCTTACTGGACCGTAATGATACAACATGAATCGTACCTGTACGTTTCCGCAGCAAGGCCTGGAGCAACTGCAGAGGTATGTCCGGCGTGGTCCCTAGTGCCTATGAAATTATGCAGCAATGGGCGGTGGGTCTCCAATGGCGATGACTTGGAGGGTGGGAATGTGCACTATATTTATGTCTGCACCAAGGTGAGCTCTGCTTTCTATTCACCAATAGCGCCAAGTTACACTACCATGCTCTAAGCTAGCGTATCTGCCGTGTTCTGCAGGATGCGTGCTAGTGCCAATGCCAGTTTCTTGGGTGCATAGCAAGTTTCACAATTGAACTACAGGTTGGGCAAAGGCTTTTGTTTACTACCGGATGGGTAACCATATAACGAGCAAGAGTCTAGCCTATATTTTCTGGCCAAAAGTGGGCCCATGAGATTGCTGTTGGATCTTATTAAGCTAACCAGTTTGGTTGGTGGCTACCTAAGGTACTGTAGGAATGGAGGGAAGGAACCTTGCTGTTATCGCGTATCTAAGCTGTAAACGTGGCACATTCTTCGATCATTTTTGGTGCTTCCAGATTACGTGGCTTGTGCTTTCAGACCTTTCTCTTCCATGAGGGATGCTCCGTCACTTCCCCTTCCCCAATCCCCTTCCACGTAAATTCGTTTCTGGAGTCTAAGCAAGAACCCAATTTCCCATTCGCTTCACAGGGACTTCTAGCTTGGCGCCAGTCAGCTTACCGAGTGGATTGTTGGTCACTCGGTGGATTGTATCATGGCTTCTCTTGTAACAACCGCCTCGACGCCCACTATGACGCAGATTAGAGCAACAATATTGCAAAAGACGCTGTCGACTCCGACTCCCCGTTTTAGTCTTTCGCGATTCGGGTCAGCTGCACGCCATTCTTCAACACGGCCAGTCGTGTGCTCGCTGACGAACGACAGTCGGTCAGAAGCCATCGGTCATGCCGTTTCTAGTCGACCCGCTCCCGTTTCATCCACTAGTCTGATGCGCGAAGCTGATGACACCTTAGGCTCGCTTCCCTTCATGATATCTGCACCGTTTCTGCTGCAATGCCTGACCGCATTCCCCGCGTTGGCTGAGGAGTTTTCATCATCGTATTCTCCAGCGAGCTACTACGCATCCCTCGGTCTCTTCATAATCTCCTTTCCTGGCCTTTATTCGCTCATCAAACGCGCTACAAAATCCAAGGTTGACCGACTCTTTTCTTAGGTTTCGTCCACTAAGCACCTGCTATACCAATGCCACCTGTCATATGCCGTTGAGAAATCCACGATCTGCATCGATGTTTGAGAAATCTCACAGCAACTTGCTTCACTCACCCCACCGTGAATCTCGCGAGATCGACACCATCTAAAGTTTCCCCAATGAAATGAAACCGTCGGCGTGCATTTTGTAGGGCAACGTCGAGCATTTGATGTCCCATTGCCTTGATCGCACTCCCTAGAGCAGGCCACGGGCCCTTGTTGCCCTACCTTCTCATTGCCTCGAACATACCTTACTCGCGAAGCTAGCATAGCGATTAAAAGGAATGGCCAAGGAAGCCTCGAGCGCGGCAGTGGCGCTTCCGGATAAGATGGATTCCAGCAAGCTTGTCGCAGAAACAGTCGATGGCGTGGCCGGGGAAATCCCTGTTATCGCGTACACGGAGAAGGTCGGCTTCTCACTGTCTCGTTTGATGCATTTTGCACTTGAATGCTTTCTGACATACCGCAAACTGACATACCACGAAATCCCCCACCGCACATGCAGGTCTTGGCAGAGAAAGAAGCGAACTTAAGAAAGTAAGCATCCTTTCCATCCCAGCCATCTGCACTAATCCCTCCAAGCAGTCTGAACCTCTTCTCATGCCCCGAAGTGATCCTGCTCTGGGCGGTTCACATGCTAACGTCCGCGCGTGTGTGTGTGGTGGTGGCGGCGGGGGTATCAGGATCATCCAGGACAACTACGCGAAGATCGGGGCGGTGGAGAAGGAGCTGGAGGCGCTGCACCTGGAGGTGAAGCTCACGTCGGGGTCCAAGAAGGCGGGCATGGAGCTGCTAAGGCAGAAGATCGAGCAGAGCACGGAGAAGGCCAGGCTGCTGCGCAAGAAGGAGGAGCAGGCCAAGAAGGTGGGGGGGGACGGCTGTGCGTGGACGGGGAAGGGCATGCAGCTGGTTGAGGAACCGCCAATCTGTTTTTCACAGTATACTTAAGTGTTCGGGACAGGACTATCCAGCTGATCTTCGAGTTGTGGCCTGTGGGTGCATGCAGGTATGGGAGGCAGCAGCGAAGCTGGTGGAGGAAGAGGAGCAGAAGAAGCAGCAGCTGTGTGATGACCTTAGAATGATGGTAAGGCCCCTTGTGCCATGGGATTCATTTCCATCATGACTCCTTTCCACGTTCAATGCACTCATGGTGGATATCCACTGGAATCAGCCTGCCTGTCCTCATTCCTGCACCTGCATCCCTCGTGCTGCATCCACTGCCGGAATGTGCCACTGTCCCCTCCACCCTCGTGCACGCGTCACACGTCACCAGGTGCAGCAGAACGCGCTGCAGCAGTATGAGCGGCTGGAGGCGCTGACGCACAAGCTGGACGCACTCAACCCCGAGATGAGAGGGCCCGCCCTGGAGGCCATTCAGGGCCTGCGCGCCAAGATCGCCCCCCACGGCGTCCTCCCCGTCTATGTGAGCCTCTCCGCCCTCCTCCTCCCTTCCGTCCCTCACCAGCTTGCTCTCTACCCTTCCATCTGTATGCCGGTCTGCTTTTTGCTCGTCGTTGCTCATCACATTTTCGATTACAATACTCAAAAGCTGTGTTCCCTGGTGTTGTTGTTTCATATTTACAGACATCAAATGCTGATCCAGCAGCGCAAGGCAGGGAGGCACCTGCGTCTGCCCAGGGCACGTGCACCCCATCAGCTGCTCCTGCGGACACCAGCAGCAGCACAGCACCCGCCTCAACGGCAGATGCTCCAGCCACCACCCCCAAAGCCCAGGGGACAGAGTGTGACACGCAGAGCCAACGGCAGGAAGGTAGCTCTGGCGCCACAGCAGCAGCAGCAGCAGCAAATGGCAGTAAAGGAACAGATGGGGGAGGAGCACCAGCAGTGCGACTGTCCATAAGCCGTGGGAGAGGCAGGGGGCGGGGGAGGGGCTTGATTGCCAAGGGGGGAAACAAGGCAGGAGGGGATGGGCAGTGGACGGGTGCAGGGTTTGATGTTGAAGACGAGAGCATTGCATGACTGCACTGCAATGGCAATGATGTTGACAGTCTCTCAATAAATTTATTCTCCTTTCACAACTGGCAGGGTGTAGACCCAATACAGTAGTATACTGGTACTGGTATGGGCTGGACCAGGCCCTCAGATTGGTTTGAGGGTATGCTGATGGATCAGCGTGCCCCGGCCAATGAGGTGTCCAAATCAGCGTTCACTGTTTTTTTTATACTGATTTTGCCAGTGTAAAAATCATAAGTAACCTGAACCAACAGTGTAAAAACAAAAAACTATAGCTGAAACCCCAGTACAAGGTGTGTGGTGTTGTTGCTGTGATAGGTTCCAGCGGCGCGCACCTGATATCTGTGCAGTGCATGCGAAAAAATGCCAAGCGTGTGGGTGGGGTGTCAGGAATCACGGGAAGGTACAGATAGGACACGCGTACCCTATCATCCCCCCTCCCCCCCCCCCCCCCCCCACACACACGCGCGGTCAACTCCGTTTCAGTGTGACTCACGTCACTATACTGATTCGTCAGTGTTACTTGTACAGCAACACGCAAAATGGTCAGTGTGGCAACGTAGGTTATACTGAAATTTCAGTGCAAAATTGAGGCATATGCTGAATTTTCAGGGAAAACGAAAATCACAGCTACAAAATCAGCGTAATCAGCGTGTTTTACGCTGATATCTGAGGGCCTGGGCTGGACCTATACACATCAGAGCGGATACAGAAACCAAACGATTCTGCAAAAAAACTACTCAAACAGGGTTCAGTGAGCAAGTGGCGTTGAGTCAATCAAGGCGCTTGAGGCGGGCATCAAGGTGCTTCTGCATGGGCTGCGAGGTGGTCTCCATATCCACTGTGTACGCCAGTGTGCCCTCGCCCTCCAGCCTGAAGTGCCTCACTATGCGCCGTACCTGCCCTCCATGGCACGCACATGAGGGGAGGCACGGGATGAGGAGGCATGATAGCGCATGGTAGTGAAGGGGGTCATGGGCGTAGCAGACGTGGAGAGGGGAGGTGAGGTCGACGGGATGAAGGACGGGGATGGGGAAAGAGAGAGGGGCGAGGAAGGCAAGAAAATACTTGGGAGATAGTGAGCAAGACAGGGGGGTGCTGTGGTGGAGATGGATGGGGATGGGTGAAGAGGCAGCGGCGGTGCACCTTGGTGGCGTTGCCAACGAGCTCGCTCTCCACGGCGATTGTCTTGGCCTCCGCGTCATACCTGCCCTTCTGCACGCGATCAAGGGAGGCGTTAGGAGGAAGGGGTGTTAGGGAAGTAGGACATTTGGAGGAAAAGATGGACAAACTCCAGTAGCGAACCGCCGGCTATTTTTCAGACAGTGGTAAACAGGAGACCGACCAAAGCGGGGGCTTGAAAGCTGGCGGCAATGCGGCAGCCCACCTGCACTTCAGCAAGCCCTGTGCTCTGAGCGATCACGATCTCTAGGGTGCCGTCCGGCTTGGGCCGCCAGAACCCGCTCTCCGCGTGCATCGGCTCGCCCGACTCCGCGCGCCACGTCTTCTGCGCGTACGCCATCGCCGGCTGCAGCGGGAGACGCGGAAGGGATGCGCGGAGCGGGGTAGGCGGGACACTCAGATGCGGAAAAGGAGGCAGAGGGCGGTGGGAGGTATGGGTGCGATAGCACGGCACGACATTAAGCTAGGCCGGGTCTGGGGAGCGAGGCAGCGTGCGACGGTGCTCACCTTTCCGGCATGCGTGAGGGTGATTTCCTCAATGTATCTAAACGAGTTGATGGTCGGGTAACCGCCCTCGCCCTCGCCACGCCATCGACCCAGCATGAACGCTATCGGCTCCAGCGCCGGGTGCAGCGGCGGCGGGGTGCCTGCCATTGCAAGCGAGCGGTAAGTGCGGCGCGCGTTGCGACAGGAATAGGCGCGCAAATGGTGCGGATAGGGGGAAGATGGATTGTGGCTGGTGGGGAATGTTGCGAGTGCAGAAAATGGAAAAAGGGGATTTGTGCGAAACTTGCGAAATTGGATACGCAAAGATGTTTGAGTTTCATCAACTGAGCCGACATTCACCTCGCTCACACCCACGTGGCACGTCCAGCGCATTTACAGATGTCGGAGCTGCCAGATCGTCACGGTCCACCGTCAACACTCCCAACAAAGCTACCGTATTCGTCGGCGCGGGCGCCAGTCCCCGTGACTGGGCTGGGATCCTTGCTTATTTCAACTACATTGGGTTGGTCGAGTCGCGGCAATTTTGAGACCAGCTCGGATATGTACTCAGTGCACCATCTGACTCCAGCACATAAAATCCTCAAACTCGTTTCTAGAAATTACGAGTTTCTTGCCCAGCACTCACGAATTCACTTCCATGGCTTCCACAGTCTTATCGCAAAGCCTTTCTGGCACACACGCATTGCTTACGAGGTCTAGCATTCCAAGGAAATCCAAGTCTCCAAGAGCAAAAACGTGGGCCATCACGCCACTAAATTTGGGTGGCCGCTATTCCGTGCAATTCCAAAAGAACGCAAGCCCAGTCATGGCAGCCATCAGCACCGGCAAGGAGGAAGTCTCCTCACCATCTGAAAATGTTGAGCACTCTGACCAGATTGATGTCAAGCCGACAGAAGTAGTCATTTTTCAGGTCGGATAATTTGAAATCATCGCCTGTTGCTCGTTCAAATACGCTTCCGCAGTCGTTTCTCTAACTTCATTTCCGCGTCATTCTCAGGGATTCAACTGGGAATCGTGCAACTGCAACGAAGGATGGTACCAACGAATCATGGACCTGCCAGGAGAGCTCTCCGCAGCGGGAATTACGGACGTCTGGCTACCGCCGCCCAGCAAATCAGTGGCTCCCCAAGGTGAGCAAATAGCGAGAACACTGCGAACGGTTACCCCAAGGCTACTAAGCTGGCGCTTCGCGAAGCATCTCACACCCGATATACCTACCTGCAGGATACATGCCGAGCCAGCTGTACAACCTCGATGAGTCCCACTACGGAAGCGAGGAAGAACTGAAGGAACTGATCGGACGATTTCACGGAGCGGGCGTGAGATGCATCGCGGACATCGTGATCAACCACCGGTGCGGAGACAAGCAGGATGAGCACGGCTGCTGGACCATCTTCGAGGGCGGCACGCCCGACGACCGCCTCGACTGGGGTCCTTGGGCCATCACGCAGGGCGACTCGCCCTTCGGCGGCCATGGCCGTCCGGACACTGGCGAGGATTTCCCGGGGGCTCCTGACATCGACCACACGAACGAGCGCGTGCAGCGCGAGCTGACGGAGTGGATGCTGTGGCTCAAGAACGACGTTGGCTTCGACGGCTGGCGGTTCGACTTCGCGAAAGGATTCGCGGGAGAGTTCGTGGGGAAGTACTGCGACGCAACGTCGCCCGCATTCTCTGTGGGGGAGCTGTGGACGACGATGAATTACGACGGCGAGAAGCCGGACTACAACCAGGACAGCCACCGACAGCAGCTGGTGGACTGGGTGGACGCCACCGACGGCCGCTCCACCGCCTTCGACTTCACCACCAAAGGCATCCTGCAGGAGGCCGTTCAGGGCGAGCTGTGGCGCCTCCGTGACCCCAATAACAAGCCTGCTGGTGGGTGGGTGGAAGAGGAGCACTGCTGCTGAATATGAATATGATAATCTCCTGACTTATACTATTCTGCGTGATCCTCTAATCCTGTGATTCTGGTGTGCAGGGATGATTGGGTACTGGCCCAGTCGAGCAGTGACGTTCATTGACAACCATGACACCGGCTCCACACAGGGCCACTGGCCCTTCCCGCGAGACAAAGTGATGCAGGGCTATGCATACATCGTCACGCATCCAGGCATCCCATGCGTGGTGAGTACCCTTTATAAATTTACCACTTCAACGTGCATCATGAAAAGTTTGAAAATAACGAATGGCCTGACACAATGCTCTGCATCTGCTGCAGTTTTACGACCACTACTATGAGTGGGGCCACAAGGAGGCCATCAATGCACTCCTGGCTATCAGGAAGCGCAGTGGGGTGCACTCTAAGAGCAAGTGCAGCATCATCACGGCTGAGGACGATCTCTACCTGGCCGACATCGACGGCAGGCTGGTTGTTAAGATAGGCCCGCGCTATGACATTGGGGACATGGCTCCCAACGAGACAGAATTCCAAGTGGCTGCATCCGGAGATGGCTATTGTGTTTGGGAAAGATTGCAGCAGGAGGCAGGTCATGACAAAGCAACACCATGAGTATAAATAGGGATGTTTATACATGTGAATAAGGTTTTGTGTGACCTATCCTGTACATGCACGAACATCAATCTATCATGAGCAACCTTGCATAGCTATGGCATGTTGGAAGCGAGCCACCAGAGCATGTTGGTCTTGGAGTTGCCATCATCAAAAGCACCTAGAGCAGCAATGTTCGCCCTGGCCCCCTGGGGGTCGTACAGCGCCTGCAGCGCCCACGCAAAGCCACGCCACTCGTCCGTGACGGCGCCGCTCAGCACGGGTTGAGCCCACTCCACGAGCTGCTTGGCGAATTCGTGGTCGGGGAAGAGGTGGGTGAGGAAGGGCGTGACGGGCAGCACCTGGATGCCAACTCTCTTCTCCATGTCCGCAGGCGGAGCGAACCACAGCGCCGCGTCGCGCTTGGTGGACCACAGCACGCCCACCACGCGGTTGCCGTCCGCAAACACCGCCTCGTACGCCGGTGAGAGGGAGGGCTCCGGGGCGGATGAGGCAAGCGGCACGTGCATGAGGGTCTGCCCGGCGAGGGCCTCCACGGCTGCCAGCGTGGCGCCCAGCGTGGCGAGCGGCTGGTCGCCCAGCACGGACGCCAGCAGCGCCCCCGCATAGTACGCGTTGGCCGCCTCGCTGAAGCTCTCCTGGTTGCGCCCATCGCCAAACTCAAACAGCCCGCTGGCCCACGAGTGCAGCGCGTACGCGTCAAAGTGCCGCAGCCTTGGGAATGTAGTCCGCCATGAGGTCCTTGAGCGCCACACCGTACTGGTCGCGCCACGCAGAATCAAACTCGGCAACGGTGGCAGCTGCGTAGATGAAGTAGCCGTAGTGGAAGTGGTGGTCATTGTACATGCCCGCTCCAAAGTCTGCCCCCTGATCAAGCGACCCCGCCTCACTCACCACGCCGCCCCACGTGGGATCATACAGCAGGCGGTTACTGGGGAAGGTGCCATCCAGTCACGCGGAGAGCGCGGTTCGCAGGGGCGGCAGCACGGCGGCCAGGCTGTCATCGTCTTCCACCTGTTTCGCAATGAGTGCCAGGCGGGCGGCGTGCGCAGCTGCCTTGCCGAAGGAGTAGGTGGAGGTGGAGGAGAGGGGCGACAGCGCTGCCACGTCCTGCTTGAGGCTGGCCCTGAGCTCGTCCAGCAGCTGTGCGTCGGACGAGAGGGGCCCCGCTTTCCATGTGGACGGGCGATTGGGCACGTTGAGGCGCCACACGGCCCCCTGCATGCCCACCGCCTGGCCGTCGATGGTGGGGTATGTCAGCACTGATGCATCGGGCACGGACGCATCTCGCACGGACGACCACCGTGCACTGCCTCGTGCCATGGAGGGGCCGGCAGAGGCGGGGTTGTGGTGGCCGCGGAGGGCGCCCATGACGCCGCAAGGGGAGCTGCTGCAGTGACGACAGAGGGCGGAGGCAAGGGAGGGGCTGTGTGCGCTCACTTCCATGCGCCGGTGCACTGCTCATTGGGGAGAACGAGGGCAGAGGGGGAAGGGAAGGAACAAGGGAGAGGGGGGCAAGTTTGACGATGAGGGCGATGAAGGATTGCTGTCAAGACATCATGGCACTTGCAACGGTATTGCAGGTGACATTGCAGCACAGCAGCGCCGGCGCTACTCACTTGGCAGCGAGAGCATGAGCAGCGGCGCCTCGGTGTCGCCGTCAGCCAGCTGGCGCCAGTGCTGGGTGCGCCAGGTGTACTCGATGCGGAACTCGCCCACCTGCGCGCTCCCCCCCACCGGCACCGTGGGCACGTGCGCGTCCAGCAGCGCCTCCTCGTCCTGCGGGGAGGTCCTGGGCAGCAGCGCCACGCGCATCGTCCCCGTGAAGGGCGCGTCCGCCACCAGCGCTGACCCGTCCTGCCGCAGTGCCAGTGGCGACGACAGGTACACCAGCCATGTCTGGTGTAGGGGCAGGGGATTGGGGGGGGAACGCGCAGAAGGAGGAGGTGAGTATGGGGAGTGAGCAAGTGGAGGGGGGAAATCGTAAGAGTTATGGCGAGCGAGACACGGGAATGGGGCTGGTTCCAGAGGGGGAGGGGGGGACGGTGGCAGGCGCTGGGTGGCAAAGGGGCGCGGATGGCGCGGAGGGCTGACCTGGCCGTTGTTGAGCGCGACACGGTACTTGCTGCTGTCGCTGCTGGCCTCCACACCCGTGATGGCGTGGATCGTCGTCAGCATGGGCGTCGCTGGGGGGCCGCCCGGGGGAAATATGAACGTGAGGAAGGGTGAACCCCGCACCAGGGGGACCTCGAACGCGGAGGGATCGGAGGGTGCGGAGGAGGGTTGGCGGAAGGAGAGGGTGGCGGAGAGGTCGTCGTAGGCGGAGAGCTGGTGCAGGGGGAGGCCCTGCAGCGTGGAGAGCATGAGCGCGGTGACGAACGCCTGCATGATGTACCCGGGTTGCGGGTCGCGCACCGGCAGTCCCCACGCGACGCGCCCCTCCGCGCTCTGCACGATGTACGGCGTGACGAGCTCAGAGTTTCCGCCCTGCCCCAGCACGAAGTTCTGCCACGGCGCGTTCGTTGGGTACGGCGTCTGGGGTCGGGGGAAGAGGGGGAGTTGAGCAGGATGAGGGGAGAGGAGGGAGGAAAGCACGGGGAACGGGGAGTGCGTGCAGATGGGGGAAGCGGAGAGCACGCGCAGAAAGGGGAGGGCTGGGAAACTCACGGTGAGGTTGGTGGACCAAAGGGCAGAGGGCGCGGGAGCCACAGTGGAGGAGAGCGCGGGGAAGGCCTCCGTCGCCATGGCGGCGGGGACCAGACGTGCACGGAGTGCGGCGCTGGGGATGACAGGCGGAACGAGGTTTTCGGGATTGACGAGAGGAGGTGGAACGCGAAGCGCGTGGGTGCGGTGAGGCGTCCGACGTGAAGGTCAGGTACGATCGTTGGGGGTAAAGGCGCTGGACTGGTGCTGCTGGAGGGAGGATGGCTGCTGCGGCAGTGGTGATTTGTAAATTCTGTGCTCGCGGGAGCTAATAAATAAAGCACTTCCTTGGCAGCATCGCGTGCGTCCTGGTCGTAGGATGTCGCGTCCTGCGGTGGCAGCGATGCCATAGCGCTGGACGCGGCGGACCGTGGGGCCCGCGACACGCGAATCAAGCGGGAACGCGTAATTTGAGTCCACCACACTGCTACCACACAGTCGCGGCTCTCACTTCAATCGAGCCCCTCGCTTGAATTCAACGCTCATCGACCTGCCCACAGTAATGCGGCAGCCATGGCTAATGGAAGGCACCTGCAATGGTCCAACTCTGCGTCATCCAGTGCTCTCCACCACCACACTACGCGTGCAGTGCAGGGTTAGGATGGCACAGGAGCACCACAGCTCGCCTCGTGTGTTACCCTCTTTCAGCAATGCGTTGTTGCGACCAAAGCAATGCGTGCGCAATGTTCAGGTCAGGCCTTGACGAATGCGAAATATATAGACGTATATATTTGTACAAAGAGAATAATGCGTCCGGCCTATATCCTCTCTATAGAAATACAGTGAATACCATATGTATTCCCATTTCCTTTAAAATATACCATTCCCCACCCCTTTACCATGTTTTAACCTATTGGATCTACGGAATTCGGCAGATATAGACATTCCAGTCGTACATGGTACCTGCACTACATGCGCGAATACAAAACTGGCCTGCGCATTACTTATGTTTCTAGAGATGCAGTTAGTTTCAGATTCTTGCCAGTCCACTAGATTAGGCCTTCTACTTCAACAACACTAGGTTATAACCTTTCCGATCCACATAATTTGGGAGATTTCAGAGTTCCAGCTCCGCCTTGTACCTGCACACAAGCGTGCATACTGAACGAACCGACCAATGCATTATTCTCTCAGTACAAATACAGTGAATACCAGATGTATTCCCATTTCTTTTAAATTATACCATTCCTCACACCCCTACCAGGTTTTAACCTATTGGATCTATGCAATTTGACAGATATAGACATTCCAGTCGTACATGGTACCTGCACTACATGCGCGCATACCGACCAAACTCATCAGCGCATAACTTATGTTTGTAGAGATGCAGTTAGTGCCATATTCTTGCCAGTACACTAGATTAGGCATTCTACTTCAACAACACTAGGTTATAACTTTTTCGATTCACATAATTTGGGAGATTTCAGAGTTCCAGCTCTGCCTTGTAAGTGCACACAAGCGTGCATGCTGACCGAACCGGCCAACGCATTATTCTCTCAGTACAAATACAGTGAATACCATATGTATTCCCATTTCCTTTAAATTATACCGTTCCCCACCCCCCTACCAGGTTTTAACCTATTGGATCTATGTAATTTGGCAGATATAGACATTCCAGTCGTCCATGGTACCTGCACTACAGGCGCGCATACTGACCAAACTGACCAGCGCATTACTTATGTTTGTAGAGATGCAGTTAGTGCCATTTTCTTGCAAGTCCTCTAGATTAGACCTTCTACTTCAACAACACTAGGTTCTAACCTTTCCGATCCACATAATTTGGGAGATTTCAGAGTTCCAGTTCCGCCTTGTACCTGCACATAAGCGTGCATACTGAACGAACCGACCAACGCATTATTCTCTCTGTACAAATACAGCGAATACCAGATGTATTCCCATTTCCTTTAAATTATACAATTCCCCACCCCCCTACCATGTTTTAACCTATTGGATCTATGTAATTTGGCAGATATAGACATTACAGTCGTACATGGTACCTGCACTACAGGCGGGCATACCGACCAAACTGACCAGCGCATTACTTATGTTTGTAGAGATGCAGTTAGTGCCATTTTCTTGCCAGTCCACTAGATTAGGCCTTCTACTTCAATAGCACTAGGTTCTAACCTTTGCGTTCCACATAATTTGGGAGATGTCAGAGTTCTAGTTCCGCCTTGTACCGTAAACCCCCGGATTTAAGACCCCCTCCAGTTGTAGACCCCCGGGTATATAATACGGGGTGGGTACTCTATTCGAGTCTAGTTGAGATATACCCCCCTATTTGACACCTTACAATATAAGACCCCCCCCAAATATTCATTTGTGATTTTGGGACGGGTACTTGGTGATTTTCAATATTCATAGAGGAGGCATCACAACCAAACACACATGCGAAGGAACATTACCCTATCTAATCCTCATCCTGCCCAGCAACCCAGGTCTCTGCCTCCTCCCCATCATATCGCCCTTCTGCCCACCATTCATCGCCTTCATCCTGCCATCCCCCTCCAGCCCCCACCTCCTCCGCGACCCCACCGTTGTCCTCTTCCTCCTCCTCCTCCTCCTCCTCCTCCTCCTCCTCCTCCTCCTCCTCCTCCTCCTCCTCATCCTCCTCCTCCTCATCCTCCTTGGCATCCTCCTCTCCATCTTCTGTCAAGATAGCTAATAACTTAGGAGATTAGTTTTAGCCATGGTGAGAGTTACGAGAGGAACGAGCGGGAGAAAATTGTCGAGAAAGAAGAAAAGGTGTGGTTTCGCTATTGAGCAAGGTACAAATAGGAAACAAGGGAGGTGCACCACCTACAGGAAATACCTCAAACACTACAGTAACTACAGCAAACAGTTTATATTATAAACATAAGTTTAACATCTTCCGCCACCAGCTCAGCATCGCTGTCCCTGTCAGCAGTGGCAGCAGGGGGTCAGGGTAGAAAGGGTTGGGGACGAGCTTTTCCAGCTCCTCCTCGCACACATCCTCCATCACCTCCACCTCCGCCGTGTCCCGCAGGTGAGCGTGGATCAGATGATCCTCGCTCCCATCGACGGCGTTGGAGATGCCGCACGTGATGAAAGATTTGTTGGTCAGTTCTTCTGGGACGTCGGCCCAGGCCTCCGCAATCCAGCAGAGAACCTTTTCAGCGGGGGGTTTCTTCAGGTTCCCTGCGGGAAAGGGCACAGATAAGGGCAGTGGTCAGTCAATACACATTCTAGGTGCACATTAAACCGGGGGCAGTCATGTGCTCACCTGCACGTGTAAAGGGCTCAATCCCCTCATCTTGGAACCACGTGGAGTAGCAGTGGCGAACCCCGGCTTTAAATCTGCGGTTTATCGAAACGTCCAGCGGTTGCATCAGCGAGGTTCAACTGACAGGGATCACCGCGCAAGTGAGCTTGAACAGCTTCATCGTCTGGCCAACCGCTTCAGTGATGTGCTTTCGGTAGGAGTCGAGGACGAGGAGCGCCTCCTTGCGCTGCCCTCCCTCTTCGCGGAGCGACTTAAGGAAGGGGACGAGAACTTGCGCTGTCCCGTCTTGGACAAGTTTCTCGTCCATCCAGCCCTTGTCCTGGACGCGGATGACAACACCTGCACGATAGCACAAGACACATTAGCTGGTTTCTTCTTCAGCAAAGAGCAGCAAAGTTGCCGCACGGGCACAACTCACCTCGGGGCACGGGGATCTTCGGCAGAGTCTCCCGCTTGAAGACAACATAGGGAGGGAGCTTCATGCCGCCCGCCGTCACCGCCAGCATGACGGTGAGGCGCTCCTTCTCGTACCCCGCGGTGGGCACGTGCACGGTACGCGCGCCTTTCATCTCCAGGGTGCGCTCAGCAGGCATCTCGAGGAACAGAGGCGTCTGATCTGCGTTTACAATCAAGTTGAGGGGGTAGGCGTTGAGCACGCGCATCTGCCTCACGAATTCCCAGAAAGAATCTCACTTCTTCTTGCAATCTGCGTCGCACAAGTGAATGGTGAATCAGTAGCTACAATTTTATATCAGCGAACATCGAATGTGCACGGGATTTCTTACCTGCAACAAGTTTCTGCCCAATCATCGTCTTCACGCACTGCGCCAGGGACCACCGCCTGCGGAACCTCTTTGTCCAGCGGTGCAACGATCGCCACTTCTCTTGGGGGTGGCGGTGCTTCATGTAGCTCGTCGCCCAACTCTGCAGCAGGCCCACGGAGACCGGCAGACCTTTCCCACGGTGGGAAAGGAAACTGCGGTAGACCGCAGTCTCCATCATCGGCCAATTGGGCTTTCGTCCAGCACCACCGAGACAACGGCGACATCTTGCCGCAATTTCGAGGCGCTCCTTCAATCTCTTCCAGACGCGGATCTGCTTCGGCTGGACTTTGGCGAGGCTGGCCAGCTTGCGGACGCTCAGATCTGGCTGCGCGTCTATCAGCCAGTACAGTTTCTCTTTGGCGGTGTAAGCTTTCCGCGCTCTCTTCGTCATTCGGTGCCTTGGCGATGGCGTCTCTGCGTCCTGCACACGCTTCTTCTTACCCTGCGGTCTGCTGGATTGCAGAAAGACAGGAACCCTAACTTGGGGAAGCGGATGGCGTGGGCTCTCGATGCGCTCACTATCTGCCGCATCGCTGGTAGAGGCACTTGGCGTTGGCATGACGGGCATGGGCAATGGCCTAGCAATAGGAGGTGTACTGGGGACACGGCGGCGCCGGCGTTGAGCACCCGCCGTCCCAGCATCTGGGGATGTCACCATGGCGGCTAAACTACAGATGACACACTGCTAGCTTCGAAGAGGTCTTATAATGGCTCCACTCGCCATCTCTGATAGCCAGCCGAACAAAGAAAGAGGACGTGCTCAGGAGAAGAAACAAGAGGAGAAGGACGTGAAGTACAGCCTACACACAGGGACGTTGTTAGAATCGAAACGAGAATGGATGGACTAAGGGAAAGTTGGGTACAAATGTGAACCCTAGAAAACTGTACCCCATATGTGCTACCCCACTATAGCCTACAGTAGCTATGTCATATAAATCTGACACACCCCCATAGGCAAAGTGGGGGAGAACAAGGGGTCACAAGACCAGTCAAGCACAGCAAAGCAAGCTCAGGGTGGATCACAAAGTCACCACACATTCCGAGCACAAGTTCAAGGCCACAAGGCCAGTTCACATGCAGGATTACATATATATATAAGGCTAGACAAGCAAGAGCAGGTGTATATATATATGCAACAGTACAAACAAGGTCAAGGGGTGAGCAAGTGAGTCAAGGTAGGCACAAGACCCAGCTGAGTACAGAAGCGCTGATGATCACAAGGCGCAAGTGCCTTGGTGAAGATATCAGCAGTGTTGGACTGAGAGGCCACGTACGCAAGCCGCAGCTGACCACGCTGCTGTAGCTCACGAGCAAGGAAGTAGCGGAGAGCAATGTGCTTCGTTCTGTGCTCCAGTCTCTGCTCTCGACACAAGGCCAGCATGGCCTTGTTGTCTACGTACAGCACTGGAGGAGAACGAGGCGGCTCTCCGAGGTCAGTCAGCAGGTAGGTGAGCCAGCGAAGCTCCTGTGCAGCCATGGCCCCGGCGTAGATCTCAGGCTCACAACTGGAGCCGAGAACAGAAGACGAGCGGGTAGCCCGCCACGAAACAGAGCCGGAACCAAGGCTGAAGGTGTAACCCTGTGACGACCGCTGCGTAGCCTGGTCGTCAGCCCAAGAAGCGTCTGCGTGCCCAGTGAGGACCACTGGACTCTGCCCTCCAAGCACAAGCCCCATGCCCGACGTACTGCACAAGTAACGCAACACCCTCTTCGCTGCAGCCATGTGCTCCGGTCTGTGTCTCTCAGGAGCAACATAGCGTGCGAGAATGCTAAGAGGGTATGCGAGGTCAGGTCGTGTGCAGGTCATCAGGTACATGAGGCAGCCAACAAGCTCTGGGTACGGGCCACTCGACTCTACGGACTCATCCGAAGGCAGAGCTGAGAGCGAGTGGCGAGTAGGCAGAGGAGTGGCCTGAGGCGAGGAGTACGTGAAGCCGAAGCGCAGAAGGACCTGCTGCACCATGTGTGACTGAGTCAGGGTAATGGTGCGGCGTGCTCTGTCCCGGGTGATCTGCAAGCCAAGGTAGCTGCGTAGTTCACCCAGGTCTGTGCACGTGTGTCTCTTCTGCAGCTCGGACTTCACGTGGGCGAGTCCAGCAGTGTCAGCTGTGGCAAAGACCAAGTCGTCGACGTACACGAGGATGTAGAACGGCGGCAAAGAAGTGTCGGTGCGCGGAAACAGCGACGGGTCGGCAGTAGAGGGAGCAAACCCAAGAGCCGCAAGTGTAGCCTCAGTGTGTCGTGCCACTCACGCGGTGCCTGGCGGAGACCGTAGACTGGCCGCCGGAGGCTCCACTGGGTGCCAGGAGGAAAAGACCCAGTGAAGCCAGGTGGGCGACGCAGCCAGATCTCCTCGTGCAGGCTGCCCTGCAAGAAAGCAGTGCTGAAGTCAAGAGCAGCTCGTAGTCGCGGTGAGCAGCTATGTGCAGCAGTACCCGAAGAGTGGTCATCTTCGGGGTGGGAGAGAAGGTCTGAAAGTAGTCAACTCCCTGCCGCTGACTGAAGCCACGAGCCACGTAACGTGCCTTGAAGACAGGCGGAGAACCCGGCGGTCGCTTCACCCTGAAAATCCACATGCCACTGACGATGTTCGCCCCAGGCGGGGGAACCTCGTCAACGTAGGTGCCTGTGGACTTCCAGGAAGCCATCTCTGTGTCCATAGCTGCCTGCCACTGAGAGGAGTAGGGACCCTCTATCGCCTCCGCGTAAGAGAGCGGAGTCGGGATGTCAAGTGCATCCGGGTCTCCCTCAGGGGTAAGCAGTACGGACACGAGATGAGGTGAAGCAGCAGCCAAACACTGGAACTCCTCCTGCCTGTCCTCAAGGACGTCCGTGCCAAGGGCACACTCACCCCCGACGGACGGAGGACAGACAGACTCAGACGCAACGACAAGACTAGCAGCGTAGTCTAGACGACAGCGAGCAGCAAAGTCGACGAGCTCAGCAACTAGGGCAGACGCAGCAGTGGACTCAAAGGAAGGGTCAGTGACGACAGTAGCAAGGAGACGCGTGACAGTAAAACTGGCAGCACGAAGAGAGTCCGACTCCGGGTCGGGAAGAGCAGGAAGAGAGGACTCAGGAGGAGAAGGCAAAGGGGCACGCAGAGGAGCAGTGGACGGACGCAGAGACATCCGGTGCGTGCCAGGGACAGGAGGAGGACGCTGACGCGAACCACGGCCACTAGTGCGAGCAAGACGGACATGCGACGCAGGGCGAGACGCAGGCTCACGACGCTCAGCCAGACCTCCAGTAGGACCAGTGTAGGGAGAAGGAGCGGGCAGTGTGAAGGCCGGCTGTAACTGTAACTGGGACGGGACAGGCTGTGGACACTCTAAGGGAGGAGGAGGACCAGTAGAAGGCGGGAGACCAAGAACCTGCTGAAGGAGCGGAACGAAGTACGGCCGAGGCCGCGCGGCGACTCCAGACACAGCAGGGACAGCACCAGTACCCCCAGCGGCAGCACCAGCGCCAGCAGCACCTCCAGCTCCAGTACCTCCAGCAGCACCAGGAGCACCCCCAGCAGGACCGCCTCCAGGACCGACAGCAGTAGCCTCAGCGCCAACACCCTCAGCAGCTCCAGCTCCAGGCGTACCCGCAGGCCCAGCAGCTCCAGTACTCCCAGTACGAGCACCTCCGGGACCCGCGGCACCAGCACCCGCAGCAGTCGAAGAACCTCCAGCTCCAGCAGCACGCCTCCAGCGTCGGGCAAACCACTCTCGCAGCTCCTGTGGAGAGAGTGGCTCCCGCCGAGACGAAGCACCCGGAGAACCTCCAGGCTCAGCACCGCCAGACGCCACACGAGCAGGCCCAGCTCCCTCAGGCTCCGCACCCCCAGGCTCAGCACCTCCAGGCGTAGCACCCCCAGGCTCAGCACCCCCAGGCGTAGCACCCCCAGGCTCAGCACCCCCAGGCTCAGCACCCCCAGTAGTAGCACCCCCAGGCTCAGCACCCCCAGAGTCAGCACCCCCAGGCTCAGCACCCTCAGCAGCACCAGAGTCACCAGTAACCTCGACAGGCTCGACTGCGTCTACCTGGGACACACCTGAAGGGGCAGGACCCTGAGGGGGGAGGGGGTCTACCGGGGGGGGACCTGGCACAAGGAAGAGCGGTGGCGGGGGGAGGGACGGAGTGCGGTAGGGGAAGAGGCGGTAGTAGGGGACCGACTCGTCAAACGTGACGTCCTGGGAGGACAGAACACGGCGAGAGGTGGGGTGGTAGAACTGCCACCCTGGCGCGTCAGGGGGGAAGCCAAGGAAGACGCAAGGAGCAGCACGAGGGGACAGCTTGTCCGCAGACAAGTCGCGGACAAACGCCCGAGATCCCCAGACACGGAACGCAGACGCATCGCCAACCTTCCCCGTCCACAGCAAAGCTGGGGAGGTCTCCGGCATGGAGACCCTGGGGTGAAGGTTGATCTGATGCGCCGCGTACCGAACCGCAAACGGCCACAGAAAATGGGGGGCAGCCGCATGCATCATGGACGTACGGGCGACGTCCATGACCATGCCAATGCGGCGCTCAGCAATCCCATTTTGCTGTGGAGAGTCCGGAAGCGTGAAGGTCTGGCGGATGCCTCGTGCACGACAGTAGGCTCGCAGAAGGCCAGAGGAGAACTCTCCACCTCTGTCAGAGTGCAGACGCAGAACAGGAAAGTCCGAGCCGAAGCTCTGCCTGAGCTGGAGACGAGCTGCGCGGATCCAGTCGATCAACACCTCAGTGACATCACCCTTGCTGCGTAAGGGGAAGACCGTGGTGTAACGCGAGTAGTCGTCAACCACCAGCAGGAAGTAGCGCTCGTGACCCTGTCCACGGACGCGGGCCGGGCCCCACACGTCCATGTGAAGCGTCTGCAGCGGGGCCTCTGTCGGAGGAAACTGGGAGGAGTGAGGGGCAGCCCGCTGCCGCCCCTCGACACAAGGGACGCAGGTAGGGCCGGGCCCCGGAGGAAGGGGAGGGAGGGACCGGGGAAGACCAGAGACAAGGACACGGGAGGCCATGCCTCGGAGACGAAGCAGGGAGGGGTGACCAAGGCAGTGGTGCCAGAGGAGAGTCTCGTGCGACAGGAGGCGACACGAACAGGGGGCAGACTCAGGACCAGACCTGGACGCTGCAGCAAACACCTGACCCGACGCAGCTACCTGACCAGACGCAGTGACTGGAGGAGACGCAGTGGTC